ATTTTTTTAAAGGAAAATTCTTAAATCTCAAGTCTTTACAAATATGTAAAACTAATTTCGATTTTTTACTTAAATCCCCACATCACTCTCTCATATTTGATGGTTAATCTGTAATTTTAAATTAGATATCCCCCGGTAGTGTATAGAAATGATCAGTTTTTATGTCCAATTAATTTTCAGTTGAGAAACCATAAAGTGGGTAAATGCCAGCTGCAAATACAGGAAGTGTTACAAGTATAAACATCTGTAAAAGGCTTTTACGAGGAGAGAGAAGTCTTTTCTTTCATTTACACATACATACACACACTTTACAAGGAGAGAAGTATTCTCTTTTGTTTACACACAGACTTGCCTTTATCCTTTTTAACAAAAAAGGAACAAAACTCACCGACTTACTGGAGGAGAAAGATCAGACACAAAGGATAGCTGAAAGATGCTTTCTTTCCAGCAAGCATGAAAACTGTTTTCTTGAATACTGTTTAAAGCTCATAGTACCATGTAAATAGACAAGAAACATGAAGGATTCTGCCACTGGCAGAAAAAACTGACTGCAACATGAACTTAGTCATACAGGAGAGACAAGATATTGGCCTAAGATGTCAGTTGATATAAAGAGTCTTGAAGAAATGAAGGCAATCAAGAAAGATAAACAGCTGCTTGACAGAAAATTAGGTCAGACCACAAAAGTCAGCTCCCCAACACTGCTTTCACCAACTGAGAAATAAAATCACCAACACCCAGAAAAAGAAGGATGAGAAGGGGAAAGCAGAAAACAGTCAGCAAGCGTAAACGCTCTAATTGTTGCATGAGGTTCATCCCTGGAGGCAAGGTGAGCCTGGATGTAAACAGCCAATGAAGCAAAGCTGGCTCAGCAGGTGAGTCACCCCGGCATTCCCAATGGAACATCCACCTGTCGAAGGAAAAAACTCAGACAAAAGCATTTAGAAAAGAGTTTACTTGCAAAGAAGGCTGCAGGAAAATTTTCAGGCTTTAGGAGGGCTGGCTCACAAATAAAAGGACAACAGTTATTCCAAAGAAAAATTTTCACAAGAACCATTATTATTAAAATAATTAGCCTTACAATTATTACCCAACAATTAGCCAACAATTTTTTCATGTAATCAAGTTTTTCAAGATGTTTGAAGATGTGAGGTAAAAAATTTGGTTTGTTGCCCCATGCCTTCTCCTCCCTTTTAAGGCAGAAGTAGGCATTCTATTTAAATTTACATTCTCCCTACAATGCAAGCCACAAATTTGTCAGGTAATTGTGTAAAAAGAGAAGACACTCGGCAATCCAGAATTCAGTTTTCTACTCACCTTGTTTTTGTGACTGACAACTAAGGTCAGTAGTTCTCAATTGGTGGTAATTTTGGCCCCACCCCCACCCCCGGCCCCACATCATTTGGCAATGTCCACAAATATTTTTGGTTGTTATAATGGGAGAGGAGGTGCTATTGGCATCACCTGACGGGCAGGGCCCAGGGATGAGGCCATCTCAGCATTAAGAGATATTCCTCCTAGTGAAGTAAACCATATTTTTTTTTCTAATAGCTTAAGAATATTACACCAAAAACAGAATTTTATGTAGACACATTAACACTAAGCATTTATTAGTTTTCAACATAATCTTGATCACAATTATTTTGAATATCTCTTAATACCTGGTATTGAGATGTTCAAAAAAATTAAGTTGAATTTCTCTTAGATTAATTCCATTACTACTGTAAATGTTCTCAAATATTAGTTCCTAATAGACAGAATAAGTAAAATAATGCATTACTTATAATGTGCAGGAAAGTTCCCACCACAAACAATTATGTAGTCCAAAATGTCAATAGTGCCACTGCTGAGAAATCACAACAGACTCTAGTCAACCCACCTGGGTTGAGATTTCAGCTTCATAACCAGTTGCCAGTTGTGAAGCTTTGAACAAACTGACTCAACTACTCTTAGTTTGCCCATCTATAAACTGAAGATGAAACAGTACCTATAATGCCTAAGGTGGTTGTGACTATTAAGTGCCATATAACTGTTTGCTATGGTAATCTTTATTGGAAAGATTACTCCAGTTTCTCAGACTGCAATATATATCCATATCGATATCATTTCAATAGTTTGTCCTTTTATTATATCAAAATTTCCTTTGCCATGTTTCCATTTCTAGATGTGGAGACTTCAACACAAGGATAAATGTTATGGACTTTCAACATCACTTTCTATTACCCATTTCCTTTGATCAAGTTATACAGTCATACAGAAGAGTTAACACAGGAGGCTTGACTGCTCTCCTTGGAGACCTGCTTACAAAGTTGGCCCTTGTCCTCAGGTGTTTGAGAATTTTAAGAGTATTCCTACCAATTCCCAAAACTGATGTGGCTCAGTAAGCCTATACGGTACCAAAGATAACGGCGTATGTTGAACACAGTTTTCTGAGTCTGGAATTGTTATGTGCCAGGCAAAGTGTACCTAAATAAACTGCCTTCAATAAAAACCCTAGGCACCAAGTCTCCAATCAGCTTCCCTGAATGGCAACATTTCACAGGTGTTGTCACAACTACTTGCTGGGGAGTTAAGTTGCATCTTGTGTGGCTCCACTGGGAGAGAGCAGTGGCAGCTTGAGCCTGCTTTCCCCCAGACTTCATCCATGCACTTTTTCTTTTTGCTCTTGTTCTATATCCTTTTGCCATAATAAATCTTAGCTATGACTATATGCTGAGTTCTGTAAGCCCTCCTAGTCAGTCAATCACCAAGGGAAAAAAACTCCTAACACATAGTTCTATTGTTTCATTTCACTCTTGAGGATACGTAAAAAATCATGTTTAATGCATCTCTCATATAGGGAATCGGCAAACAAATGGGTTAAGTTTCATTTTCACTCTCAACTGCAAGTTTTCCTAAATCAAACATATTACCTGTCATGTTATCCATACGGGCCAATGTCTAGCACAAATACAAACTAAACTGTATGACATTTCCTTCTTCCCCTTGGATTTTCCAGTTACTCTTCTTCTGGTCACAGTAGCAAAATCTGTGGAAGTATCTTTCCCACTTCTTATGAGATATGCTCTGTTATTCTTCACTGAAGTCATTATTCTGGTATTCAGAGCCAAATTTAACTCTTTAATATCTGCTATATAATCAGCTGTTAACTTTTCATCTTTTACCTTTTTCCATCTTTCCCTTTTCTTCCAAAGATGGAACTTTCCATTAAAATCGCATGCAGGAAAAAAATCTTTCGTGTTCCAAATCCACTGTCTTTTCTGTCCAGTTTACATTCCATAACTAAAGACACTTCACCTTTTTTTGTCTCCTACTAAAGATTTTCCAAAATACATTACTTGAGAACATCATCCTCAAGCTGTTCATGACAAAAGATTCTGTGGTTAACTTAGTTTAGGAAATTAGGTGAGCAAAGTTAAACAAGTTTCTTACAGAACATCTCAGAATTTTTGACACAATCATTTGAATTATAAAGGAACATTTCTGCTTTTTGGTTCATATACAGATAGTCCTGTATAAGTTACATAAAAGTACAAAACATTCCCCTCAGGAACATCTTAAAGGAAACAATATTTTACCATATGCATTTTAAGAAATACTACGCCAATCCCTGATGGGCTAGAAGTTATCACATCTGATGCCCTAAAAGTCTGCTGATACAGCTCCAAGAAGGATACAAATATTATGACCAATCTACTGTCTTTTAGAATTGAAAAAATCTAAAATATTAGCCAAAATAGGAATTTAAAATGAGATCAAATAAAATTAATGGATTATTAATCATAAATCTTTCCATCTGTGGGAAAAATACTTCATAATTTTATATGATGAGGAAGTATGAAATGTCTTTAACATTGTGGTCCTAAATTATTTGCCATAAAAGAAAAAATTAAATTCAGTCCGTTTAAGTCAGTAAGCACCCAAGCACTCATCTGTCACTCTGGAACCTGAATTGGTTGATCTCTAAAACAAAACGAAATACAAACAGATACTGAAATCCAGACTACTGAGCAAGCATCTTAAATGTAACAAAAATACATTACTACTAAATAAACTCAACAAAAATGTTTGTTAATACTTTATTAGTATTTTCTAATGGACAGAACACAAACCAAATAAATTTTTAATCTTTTTAGTTGAATAAAAATAACTGACATTCTGATTTTTTTCTTCTTTGTCAAAGAAGGAAAGTACTGATAGAACAGTTAGGCACACAGTTGACACTGTACAATGATATGCACACATTATCTTTCAACAATTATAATCCTAAAATGTGCTCTTTATATTTTTTTCCCTTGTAATACAGGAGCCATGCTCCTATAAGCAAAATTTACTACTAACAAAATAATTTTCCAAGGAGTGACAAAAGACTTTTAAAACAAGTCCTTAAATAAAAGGATGCAGCAACAACGGAATGTAAAGTTGTTGAATTAATAAGACAGTTTAAGCTACATCTCAAAAAATTAAAAATTCATTTATCTTACAATTACTCAAATACACATGCATTAAATGAAAATATTGCACAAAATTAAAATTTTATATTGTGAAATTTATATTATTCTTAATTTTTATAAAAATTGGTACACTTTCTGGTAGCACTTAACTGTTTGATTTTTTTCCAAACACCAGCAGCACAAACTTAAAATGAACAAACTGAAATATTCAAGAAAGTTTTTAATGTTTTGTTTTTTAAAAAAAATTAAGGCTAACCAAGTGCATCCATTGGTCAATGGCACAATTGATTTCAGCAACTATTTGGAATATCCTAATTATAGGAAATGCCCATCTAAGTGATATATTTAAATAATACAATCAATTTTTAAGGTGAATAAACTATTATGGTTTCTAAATAGTTCACGTTACCTGAAAAATTAGAAAACACAAAGAATGATTAATTTGGAAAGTTCTTGCCTAAAGGCACCACTGACTTAAAAAACATTCAAAATTAAATACCAGAAGACATACAGCCTCTTCATGTATATATTCATATATGCAATAAATGCATTAACTGTAATAACTTTATTAAACATAGTACACTGTACTTGACTTATGGTTAAATACTTTACACACAGCTTGACCAAGTCATTCAAAAAGTATCTCTAATTTTAGCATGACCACAGCTCTTTCGGATGTAAACACAGATGTGCATAGAGAAGATGCACCACCATTTACAAAGACTATCATTTGACATTTTCCTCTTCTGAAATCTAAACTCTTTTAAACAGAAATTACTTTAAAAATCCATTTACTCAAATAGTTTTTGGTATGATTGCAGTTATCTTGCAGGGCTCTATCTTGAAAATTTGCAATACTACATTACCTTTCTTTCCCTGGTTGATGGCCAGTGCTCCTCACATTATAGAGAAATGCTTTTCACAGGTACGCGCCAGGCTCTTACTTGAGTTATTCTGTATACTCTCAGATTTATTCATGTCAAAAATATATTTGAAAAGAGCAGGGGCATATATGAAAATCACTGCACTTATGGCCATGCTGCTGCCTCCTACAGACACGTTTCACACAACTTCACTTTTAAAGCCTGGGGCTCAGAAAGAGGCCAAGGCAGGGAGACACCCTGAGAAGAAGAAATATTATTTCTTCCACCAGAGCCACTAAGGATCTTTTCTCACTTGCAAGTTGCAATGAAAGGGATTTCATTTTATGTAATTCTGAAGACATGCAAGATATGCTGAATATATGCATACTGTAAGTATGCACAACAGCATTATTAATAAATATAATTATTATAAAGCTTTAAAGGAAGGCTTTATTCTGTTAATAGGCCGCACTTTGTAAGTAGGATCTAAGTGAAAACAAGACAGTAATATCTTGTTCCAATCTTAAAGCTCCCAAATAACTGGGATACCAATACTCTGTCCCTTTATCTTAAGCACCCAGACTTTCCTTTAATACCAGGATCTTGGCTCAGTGGTCTGACAAGTAGCTTCACTATTTTAAGGTTTTAGTGTTAAATATTTTTAAAACAAAAAAAGCTGACACACCCAAATCCTTAGTCAATGAAAGTATTTAAAACTATGCAGAAATCTTGCATAGAAGGGATATGAAGACTTCTAAGATGGACAAAATGGTGAGAAAACTATAGGAAATACAGAAGCTCCAAAACTAGAGAAAGTATTTTGTTTTATTGGTATAAAATTAATTTATGGATTTAAAGGTATACACTGAGGGGTTATGTCTACTAGCTTTATTTTGTAGAATTTTACATTATGTGAAATATAAATAAAAGCATATTTTTAAAAATATCATAGTTTTTTCATCATTTATTTTCATATATGTACACTGTCATAGAATTAGGAATTTGTATGTTTACTATGACTAATAAGCTCATTAATCATTTAATTTGCTATTTCTGCAGTTACCTAAGGCATGTCTAGATCACACAATTAAAAATTATCATATGGTAACTTTCCAGACTACTATTTAAGTTTCTGTATTTTTAGACGGACAAAATGTATTTGGCAGTTCTTCCAATAAATTACATCTTCTTCTGTATAATCAGTAATCTGTTAAAGATAAAACTAATAATTTTGAAATTTAAATGAGAGCCACCACATGCTTCTTTTTGCACAACAATGTCAAAAGAAAAAATTGAGTACCATAAGAGCACAACACAGCCCTTAAGGCACACATAAGAATAAAAATTGTTGTATATCAATGAATAACAAATCCAATCAAATTCTGGGTTTGATTGGTTTTATTTTATACTGAGCTTCATTTTATATCACAAAACTATAATTCAGGTATAAGGTTATTTCACACTTTAAGGACATTCTGTCTCTTTCCCCAGACCTGAAAGAGATGTTCCAAGGATTATTCACCTGGCTAATCCATGATACATCAAAATGCTGACACAGACCTACAAAATTATGCAAAACAAATTCCTCCAACTCGTATATTAGACAGTCTCCAACTGTTAAACAAATTGGCCAATTTATCTGTGAACCATTGTTTTGTGCTTTCCTCAGCTTTCATATATACACTCTGGCACTTTGTCATTGCTGGAGAATGCTGATTAGTTTGAAATGGAAGAAACCAACACCATTCTTGCTTGAGATGGGGGCAGTATCCTCTCAACGTTGCAAAATATGCACCAAATCATTTGAGACATGGAAATCTCTCTTGGTAGTGGATTATAGATGAAAATGAGAAGAACCACAGACTTATGGATGTATTAATAATCTATTTTGAGACACTAAAAGACTGGTGCAGACACAACAGTATATGAGTTAAGCCCCAGAAGATCTGTCCATACCATTAGTCCTGGACAAAATGAACACCAGCTTCATAGAGTGGAGTGTCACCTTTTCTGTAAAGAAGGCGCTTGAGTAGTTTGAAGTTTCTGTTTATATTTCTGCATCTGCTTTGACCGTGAATGCAGTTTGTTGAAAAGGTCACGGAATTTATACTGTGGAAATAAGGTTTCTAAAAAGCCTTCCAAGAAGACATAAACCATTCTCCTATTTAATTGGTTGTGCTGAAACATTTCAAAAACACGAAGAATACCTTTCCGTGTTGTCTCAGCCCCAATAATGTGCTTCAGTTCATCTAAATGAAGAGGGGGAAAATACGCATAACTCATTATTCAAAGAAAACACAAGGTCTGAATTCTTAAATGCTCCTAAATTAAGGTACACAGCAGAGTAACTGATCAATGGTAGGTAACCAGTTAATGCACTTCAGCTATGTATTATAGCTGAAACTTAATATGCATCTTTGCATGCATGCATCTATCTACCCACTTATGCAAAAGCTACTGGGAGACAATACAGCCCAGGTATAAAAAGTTTAAAAAAAAAAAAGTCTCCAAGATGCCAAACTACAATTACAAACCTGTCCCTTAATACCCATGTGATACTTAACCACCACCCTATGTTTCCTCATATGAAAAGGAGAATTTATAGTAACAAACATCCTTATAACTATAAGGATTTATAAGTCTTTAATGAGATCATGTGGCAAGTGATCTGTAAACTTTGTAACATTATAAAAATATTATTATGCCTAATGAATAGTGAAAGATGCTATAAGACAACAAACTAATCCATGATGGTGAATAACGTTTCATTGGAACACAGGACAAAAAAACACAAAAAAACGAACCTAATCCATGACCTACAAAAACCCTTGGCATAGTAACCAAGGCATTCAAATACTAAAAGTGTACGAATATTTACAGTGGGAAGACTTCCAGATATGACAACAAACAAAAGTTCCCTTTAACGAAGTGACAGGTAAAGTAGACTTTCTACTTGGGCAGGATTTTGAAAGATGCAATGAGATGACGTATTAGTCTTGGTGAAAAGAACATGAATGAGTAAATAAGCAGTAACTAAAATAACAAGCCATGTTCAAGACATGGGGACAGTACAAGTTTGGCTGAATTTTATTGAGGACTCCTATAAAAAAAAGTGGAGAAAACAGAAAGGTGATGGTGCTGTGACTGACTGTAAGGTTGAGCAAAGTTGGCATTTATTCATAAATAACAGCAAGTTACTACAGATATTTAAGTATGAGACCAACATGTATGATTATTCTTAACTGTTCATAATCAAGACCCTGATAATATAAATATTATTTTGCTGCTTTGAAAAGAAACATGCAACTTCCAAAAAGTCTTTATCTAACTAGGGGCACAATATAATTTAAAGCAAAAATTTTGAGAATTTACTAAAAAACAGGCAAGTACTACATATATATAAATTCGTAAACTTTTATGTGTATCCTCACTTCCTTCAGATCTTTACACCACTGTTATCTTCTGAGTGAGGCCTGCCCTGGCCACCCCATCTAAAACTGCAACTCATCCAACACTGCCTATTCCCTTTCCCTGCACTATTTTTCTCTTTAGTACTTACCACATATCTAACATACTATGTTGCATTTATTTGTTTTGTGTCTTTTTGAGTCCCTCTATTAGAAAGTAAGCTCCAAGAAGGCAAACATAAGCCTATAGAACACTGTCTGGCACATAACTTTCAATAAATATTTAGTGAATAAAGATTTCTTCCAGCTGAACAACTGAGTCAGTCTATATGGCACAATCAGGTTTACCATAATAGTATATTAAATAATATCCTAAGCTATTGCTTATTTTTCTAAAATGTTATTTCTATAATTTGCTTTTTTACTAGCAAATGAAACAATATATAGGTAGGAATTAAAATCATGCGGCAAATTTCTAATTTGTCAAAAGAGAGAGCTGATTGTTAAAATTTAGGAAGAAATTAGGAGTTCTGAATTATAAAACAAAAATATAGGAAAAAAATAGGTACTGTGTAATTAAATAACTTACAAATCTGTTTATTTACTACATCCAGAATTAAAATACAGAGAAAAGACACGTAGGCATTTTCAAAGATATTCATTAACAAGGGGCAAAACAACCATCACCACCTCCCAGTCACATTAAATTGCTTTTCACATTATATACCTTCTCTTAATGAAAGAAGAAAAATGAGAAAAAGTAAATCTAAGGTAGTGTGACAGGTGTAACCTAATGAAGTAACTAAAATCAGACCAACAAAATGCTACTATTCATACTTTGTTTGGGATTATGTTTTAATTAATAAAGATTAATAATGGACCAATTCATTGTTTCTGTGTAAATGGAGTCTTTGAAATAATTTGTTTGTTCTCCTAAGGGGAACACATATTCTTCCTGAAAAAATCAAATTTGATATTATTTTATTAGCCCTTTCACCTGTCATGTATTTTATTAATTTAACAACTTGACTCCCAAAATGCTTTCAGGCAGCGAAGTGAAGCGGATAAAAGCATAAGCTTTCAAATCACTTAAAGCTGAGTCAGAATACCAACTGTTGCTTAGTAGCTATAAACCTTGGATAGGTTATTTAACCTCTCTGAATTTGTTTCCTCACATATAAAGTGCCGTTGTTAACAGTCCTTAGCTTTATAGTAGTGTTATGAGGACTGGTTTAGAATGTATGAGAAATGCCTAGCACAGTGCCTGGGATATATTAAGCCATCAAAAGATAGTTGTTATAATTCAAAGGCAGTTACACTGGCATGAAAAATGCTAAAAATTCAGAAGAATGACAAATTAAAGAGATTTTTAACTATACATGCCCACTCACCTGGCATAATTGCAAGTAATTTCGTTTTTCCTGCTACTCTTGTTCTCATTCGAATACTTTTATCTCTGCATGGAACAGTCTCTGCTAAAATGCCATTTGGCCAAAATGCATCTCTATTTGAGAAGATTAAATATATTTTGTAAACATTTTCATTTTCTAATGATACAAGTTGATAAATTATTTCAAATTTCTACAGAAAATACAAATGTGAACAGAAAAGAAAGGTTTCTGAAATTTTATTAATATATAGGTATAATGAAATTCAACAAAGATGAACTAAGTGTGGGGTTCAATTTCAGGGGTTAAAAAAACACAAGAAAAAATAACAGATAAATTCTGCACCAAGGCAGTTCATTAACACTAACAAAGACAGCAAAACGGAATACATAGATGGCTATATCACAGCCATTTAAACACAAAGTGGGCATCTGCTGATTGAATATCTCATCCAAATGCAACCCTACAATATCTCGAATTTCAGTGCCTTAGAGTTTAACAGCTATCTCCTTCAGTTATGCCATCCCACTCATCTTATAATTAAGCCTACATAAAACTAAATTAAATTCCAGGCCCACACCTTACAGATAGATTGACTAAAATGATCCTTTCACACATAAAACAGTCCACCCGTCTTAACTTTCAGTGTGCTTTACTCATGTTCCCTAATTCTTGGTCTGAAGGCAGGAACTGAGCACAAAAACTAAGCTTTCATCTGGGAATTTGGTGTGAGGGTGAGACTTCACAGAGCAGCTGTTCTTAACTTTGCACATTAGAAACACCTGAGAGCTTTACAGAAAGATTCTGTAAAGAATCAGACCTTTCGCTGGATTAATTAAGTCCGACTCTGGGTATGGGATGCAGGAATTAGTAATTTTTAAAGCTCTACAGGTGAATAGCCAAAGCTGAGAGTCACTGCTCCAGAGGAACATCATTTACCTATCCTGACATAAAATGAACATGCCAGGGCAGGTAGTCCATGTTTTGGAAACAGCAGAGTACAGCAGGAAGAAACTTAGCTTCAGATTGGAGAAACCAGATTCCCCACTTAGTAACCTGAGAGCCTATTCAATGCCTCTAATCTTCAATTTCCTTTTAACAAAAATACTTACCTTGTAAAATGGCATAAAATCGGAAAGCACACATAAAGTACTGGGCACACTGCCAAAAACTTAACTACTGTTCAATACTGATAGTTCCCTTCTTGCTTCCTTTCCGTCCTTTCAAAGTATGTGATGCCATGAATTTTTATGCATTGCTTATCTTCACTTTTAGAAGGAGTTTCTCTACTAGCTATACTTTCTTGAAGGGACTGCATCTTATCTCAGTAATCGGCTGAGTGCTAGGCACAGAGGAGTGGCTCAGTATTTTTTGTAGAAAGAACATATGAAGTAGAGTATCTACTTAATTTGGGTTCCTTGCACAGGTTCCAATTTAATAAAAAATTACAGCTAGAAAGACATAGTTAAAAGACTTCAGTTAAAATGAAGCTTAGCAAATACAACTGAGAAAAAAGTAACCGCAAAACTACATATTTGATTATATAACCATGTCATTTTTAGGTAAATATTTCAATTACCTTATAGCCATGGTACTGCAATAAAATAATAGGCTATCATTTGAAAGATGTTTCCTCTATACTTTTCCAATTCCGATTTTAAAGAAACAAAGACCAATAGGTTCATGAGACAAATGTTTATTATAATTCTTTTAAGTCTTTTTGCTTGTCAATGACAAACAAACCAACTTTATGTCCAGGAAGGAAACAAAAAGCAATGAAAGTTAATTAGTGATAACAATGCTAAACTCTGTACTACCTGAAAGAAGTGACTGTGTCTTAAGATATACCTGAAACGTTTCACTGAGTCGGCTACTTGTTCAGGTGAAGTCATCCAATCAACATGGTCAACTATTTTTCTGAAAGTAAAGAAGTGTAAATGAGTAAGGCTAAAATTTTAGAAGGTGAAAAAAATAAACATGACTTTCATGGAGCAAGCAACTTAATCTGGATGTAAATTATACCTAAGAGCAACAGACTGCTTTAATGAACTTCTTAAAAGGCCCAGAGAAAAAAATTCTCCTACAAAGGTTGAGCAAGCTACTTCCAGAAGTAGAAGTTTAAAGGCTAAGATCAGATTAAAAGTGAGGAGGAAAGAGTGGTACCTATTAATAGTATCACCATATGTAGCTCTAATAAGCTGTTGAAGTAGGTTTTTGATATTCCTTCGCAACCACTGATTTCTTTCTTTTAAGTCGAATACTTCATCCATGAGAAGCAGCATTACCCTAAGTGGAATATTGTCATCCACCTGACAAGACATGGGAAGAAATAAGAACAAATTTGAGTTAGCTATCTACTATGAACGGTTACTTATGTTTCATTTACAGATGACTGGTATTATTTCACAAGTCACAGAACAAGTTAAATCCTAGCGTTTATAATTTGACACAATTCTAATTTAGAAAAAATATTTCTAGTAGTCATTCTGACAGAATACAGAACTTCACAGTCCCACAATGATGAATAAATTTTAAGGCTATAGTTTTAACATTTTCAAGGCAAAGTAGATTCATGATTGTCCTAGGAAAAGATGATTTGATTCTTACTTTTGGTAGAGGTTGTATGAGTTTGACAAGACAAATGTCAGACCCTCTGTCTATTTTCTGATGCATCTTTTTCATAAGAATAAGACATTCTCAACATCTCCATATATTTAATAGAAGAAAACATGATCTTTAAAGAATAATGTGTTTTGCTTAGTTAGTAAATTGTATGTATTTACGTACTTTCAGGAAAAAGATGCTGAAGTTCAATCCAGTATTAAACTAAATTAACAATACAAAAGGCATATTTTACTAAATTACTAGAATTTTCTTTTAGCTTTTAACAAAAATGAGCACACTTTTGTTATGTGAGTATACAATCAGTAAGGTAAAAAGTAAAGGAAAGCAATCGGAATTATTTGATGTGAAAAAATATGTATAAAGTAAAAAGTAGGTACAGATTTAGTACAACATACAACTGCTGGTAATTTTATAATTCCTTCATCACCGATAAACTGTTTGCAATTATTTCCTTGTCAATGCTGTAATTTAAATACTAGCAAGAAAGCATGAGTCACACATTTTTCACTGTCATGTTGCAAACATTGCCTTAGTGCACCTTCCATTCCACAAATTGAAATCACATAGCTCAATCAAAACCAGTGGGGAGAGGGAGACAGAATAAATACTTCTCTATTCTCTGATCAAGTGTATTCCTACGAGTATGGTGCCATAAGAAAATCTAATAAACAGCTAAACTGTAAAAACCACATACCAAAAGGTATAATGTTATGGATATTACACCATCAATAAACACAATAAAATATCTTAAAATAATCTTGAAAAAGCAAATAAATACATTATTTTTGTTTAAGATAGCTGATTATAAACAAATTCAATCAGAAACTCAAAGGAGATAATTATAACCTTAAAATAAATCTGCCTAATAAAACAAAATACACAGTCCAAAACCAGATCCAAACATGTACAATAATCTCGTTTGTGATAAGGGAGAAAAAGTAAAGTACTGAAAAGATGACCTTTTCAGTAAATGGTGCTTGGATCAACTCGACCCATACCTCAATCCATATACAAACATCAATCCCAGATAAACTGCAGACCTAAATGTTGTTATAGTAAAACAAAAAAGATTTTTAAAGAAAGTTCTAGGACAGCTCTGTGACCCAGAAATAGGCACAGATTGCATACATAGCACAAGAAAGCAACCTAGAGAGTAGATGACAATGCATTACATGTATCTGACAAAGAACTCACATTCAGATTACATAAAGCACTCCTACTAATCAAAAGGACTAAGATAGCCATGCCAACAAAAAAATAACAAAAGGTCTTGACAGACACATAAGACAGGACATTCAAATGGCCAATAAACATATGAAAAGGTGTTCAACATATCAAAAGTTATCATAGAAATGCAAATTCACATGAAATACAATGAGAATGGCTAAAATTAAAAAGACAAAATACTGAGTATTGGCAGGATGTAGAACACTGAACTCTCATGTACTGCTGGTGGCACTGTAAGTGGTAAAATTTGAAAAAGTACTTGGCAGTATCTACTAAAACTGAACTTATATATATCCTCTGATATAGCAGTTTCATTCCTAAGTATAGATCCAACAGAAACATGTACAGATGAATGTTGATAGAAGTAGTATTCATTATACAACAAATAGATTATACTATATTTATAAAATGGAATAATATAAAGCCACAAGAATGAAAAAACTACAATCACACAAAACAGTGTTGAGCAAAGAAAGCTAGACTGCACAGAATATGTACCTTACAGTTTCATATATAAAAAGTATAAAAGCAGAGTAGAAGTTAGGATAGTGACAGTCCTTGGTGGAAGAGAAGGTCCTAACAGTAGCAGAGGATGAGGAGCTTTTCTGGAGTAGTAGTCATGCTGTTTTTTGATTACTGTTAATTACATGGGCATGTTTAGTTTGTAAGAATTCATCGAGCTTAACACTTATGTGAACAATAATGATATATATACATATTACACTTCATTAAAAAGTTAAAAAGATATGTCAAGTATGACTTAAAGTAAATACTACCAAGAATAAAATTAACTCACATTATCGTCAAGCTGAGCTGCAACTCGGCGATGTTCAGGGTCTGAATCAGTCTTCGGAATTAAAGGAGGCACCTAAAAACAAAAATCAAACCCACAATGTAAACACATTAAAGCAGACAGTGAAACACAACACAATAGTAAATCTAAATGAGTATCAGCATTTGACCTTTAATACAATATATAAGCAGAATTTAACAATCTAAAATTGGAAACCAAATATACGGTGATTATTTCATTACCAAAAAGTTTTTGTCCTTTACAAAAGAAATGACTTTTGAGTTGTAAGGAAAAATTATTTCGTCAAACTCCCATATTTTTTAGAAGAATTCAAAGCTAAGAAAGGTTAAATGACTTGAAAGCCAAAAGTCATGCATCGCATAAGGACGTTTTGTTCAACAATACCACAGTGGTCCCGTAAGATTATAATACTGTATTTTTACTGTATTTTTCCTGTGTAGATATATTTAGATACACAAATGTGTACCAATGTGTCAAAATGCCTACAGTATTCAGTACAGTAGCATGCTGTACAGGTTAGTAGCCTAGGAGCAATATGTGATAAAAGTAGGTCTGTGGAACTTACACATACACCTAGTTTTGTGTAAATTCATTCTATGATGTTCCCACGATGATGAAATCACCCAATGACACAGATCTCAGAATGTATCCCTGTTGTTATGCAATGCACGACTGTAGTTAGTAGTACTGCCAGAGAACAGAGCTCCAATCTTCTTTTTACTATAGCTTTTGATAGTATGTTAATATGTTTACAAAATTAACAAAATGTTTGAATGGAAAGAAGGACAGAAAGATCACTATTAGCTGAAAACCATTTGTTGGCACAGGAAGGATCGTCAAGACCATCTCAAGTTACTGGTGACAACACAGAAGCCTAGAAAAGTGTTTTTTGTATGAAGTCACGAGTAATGAGCAGCCGAAGTAGGACTAAACAATCCCGATTTCAGTGGTAGTATTCTTCCTCCCAAATAGAAACAAAAGTGGGGCATCAGAGAAAGTGTGAAAGTTAACAGAAAAGTATGATTTACACAATTTTAGAAGTGGCCTCTTACATTAAAGAAAACCTGTGTTTATATACATTTCCCTTACATTCAAGTGTGATCTATCAAATACAAAGTTCTAATAGCTATATGTTTTATAGCCCTGACTACAACTTCAAAAAACTACGTCAAAATGATTTTTAAAATATTAATTAGGAATTCAACAAACTACACAGTATAGTACCTTTATCTGTTAATGAAATTTAAAAAAAACTCCCTGGGAAATTCTTCTATAACACATAGAGGTCTATACCCAGTAATGCATGACCACAGAAATGGATCATAATGATGAACTTTTCTTCTCTTTGATCTGATAATCATTCTATCATGTAAAACAGGAGAAATAAAACTTTATGCTTCCTGAGTGAATACTAGTATAACTCATTTGCACAATAGCATTTGTTTGCTACTAAATTTAGTAGTACTTTATGATAAAAATGGCATAATGAAATAAAACAAGACAAAGAATGTTAACTTTACTAATTTTAAGTTTTTATTTTAAATGAATTTTAAAATCCTACCATAGCAGAGACTAACAAGTAACTAGATTTTATATCCATTTCTGGTAAGAATTTTTCTCTTCAGTTTTTTATTCTTTATGAGACTACATGTCTAGCAAAGTTTGGAAAAGAAATAAGGTTAGAGGAATAAGGTAAATCCAGCCAAAATTCAATACATGTTAGTTGGCTTAAAAATAGTTTGCTTTAGACATTACTGAAAATGTCTTCTTACCTTAAAAAATGATTGCTTTATGTCTTGACCTAATCTTTCTGACATTTTGCCCATGTTGTCTGACATTTTCGTCATTCCCTCTGCCAAGCTATCAGGAAGAGATTTAACTGCATTTGAAACATTCCTCATAGAATTTCGAAGAGGATTTACAAAAGTATCCATCTAAAGGGAAAAAAGATATTATACCATGACTTTATTGTACCAAAGTTGTTATCCAAATGATAAGCCTTGGAAAATATACAGTGCAACACTGAAAAAATGCAATAATATTCTAGTCTATATTATGTCACTACATTTTAAAAGTACAGAAATGTTGTCTTCACTGTGTCTTAAAAACGTATCTTCGGCTGGGCACAGTGGTTCATGCCTATAATCTCAGCACTCTGGCAGGCTGTAACAGGAGGATCACTTGAACCTAGGAGTTTGAAACCAGCCTGGGCAACAAAGTGAGACCTCATCTCTACAAAAAATAAAATAAAATAAAATAAAAAGCCAAGCATGGTGGTACACACCTGCGGTCCCAGCTACTGGGGAAGCTGAGGCAAGAGGATGGCTTGATCCCAGGAGTTCAAGACTGCAGTGAACCGTGATCACATCACTGCACTCCATATACTCCAGCCTGGGCAAAAGTGAGACCCTTGTCACAAAAAACAAAAGTAATTTCACATATACATATATGATTTAAAAATTTCTATTCTTAGAAAATCAGCATAAGCTTTGGCTGCCTTCTTATTAAAGAAATTTTGAATGAAAAAGTTTTCCATTCAAAATTGTATAAGAAAAAAAAGTTTTCCAAAACAGAAACTGATGCAACTAGAATCAGCCACTATATACTTCTGCCAAAGCTCAAGGCAACAACTGGGAATTTTGAGTTCATACTGAACAGAAAACAATCAGGTAAAATAAACAGAAAAATGAAATAACTAGTATTTAAGATTTATTCTTAAAAAACAATTTTAGAATACATTATAAGTGCAATTAAAATCTACAGAGAAAATTTGAAGTTCCTGACAAAGAAGGAAAACAGACACTGCAAATCAGACATGTAAATCATATTTTAGTAAGGTGGAATACAAAAACTGTAAAAAGAAATACAACTAGAGACATAAGAAGAAATACAAATCTTCAGTGACAGAAGGAAAAAATTGACATATGGCTATAAAATATAAAATGATATCAATTTATAAAAAAGAGACATGTAAAGAAACCACAGTAACTGCACATGGGATTGAGAGATTTTTAACAGAAACAAAGAAATCAAAGAAAAGACACAAAACCAAAGTCATACAAAACTAAAGGATTATCTTCCAAAAAATGTTAATCATCACAAAAGCTATCAGGGACAAGAAATTATGTTCCATGCAAAAAGAAAAAATTGAATAACAGTAACAAAACTGAACCTCACTCCTTAGTAATCACAACAATGTTAAAAGATGAGAAGACTAAACTCCTTTACACTAATAATATTTTCATAGCTTCCATCAAGAAAAACTAGAAGAGGTAAGATGAGTATTAATAAAAAGTGAATTTCAAGGTAACTGTACAAAGGCTGAGAGTTTTGGTTGGTTACTCCCTGGCTTACGCTCAGCCAATAGTATCACAGATATGCTTGATGGAATATCCAACCCTAAGAGGGGCACTGGTAGAGTACAATTCAGAGTAAAACCAAAGGACAGAAATTAGCTTGAATAAGGATTTGAAAAACACAACTACTGGTGGAGAGAAACAAAAAGATAAAAAGATGAAGTTAATTCTCATGTGTGGTTAATTCTTGTGTGTGTTCATGCATACAACGCACATGTGCATGCATGCAGGCACATGTGTAATTCTAATTCCATATTCTGTAGTTTTGGGTCAACCAGAACAATTTGTTCAAATTAATCAGGATATAATTTGCAACACTGTGGCCTTTTCTTTTAAATGGTAATTAACATATAAATTAGCTAAGTAATGAGATCATAGCATAGAATTCTAAAGAGAGATAAGCATCAAGCACAATACAACATTTAAAATGTGCAGCTTGAGGAAACATTGCCACCTCTCTAATAAGTCACAGAAGAAATAGCATTTCAGAAGCATAAAAGGCATAAACTTCAATTTAACCCCCAACTGAGTTACAATCATGTGATATCCTCAAAAATATTTTAGAAATTTATACAGCAGAAACCTGAGTTTAGCTATTATGAATTGGTTAAATGAATACCATCTCACATGGTTACCTAGGCATAAGGCTATACTACCATTGATACTCGAAGAGAAACTAAAGCTATATAATGAATTTCCTAATAATTAAAAATAGTTGTCTGTGCAGCATCCCAAAAGTACAGAAGCATTTTTTTTTTTTTCCTAAAGGCAAAGCATTTGTATTAGGAGGGAATTGGGGTAAGAATAATGAAAAACCTCTATAGGTGACTCTGCTGCTTAACCATGAAAGAAGAATTTCGTAAGCATAAAAGCAGAGTCCATTATTGTATGAAAACATTTCCAAAAACAAGATTTGTTTTAAAGTAGATTTTAGAAAAAAAGAAAAAATTTCAGATGATCACGTACAGGAGTAGATTACAGATTGCCAGCAAAAGCGTACACTTAGCTGTCCATACACAGATGCTGTGTATTCAATTACTATCCCAGCTGAGTTATTTGTATTGTTAACAACATAAACACAATGATATTTTAACTTAAATTTACATCTCTAATTTTAGCTTAAAATGCCTTCACCATGATACAAAACTGGATAGAAAGATACTGTGTGCACAGAGGAAAGCTATTTGTCAGTCACTCTCTAGAAATGTTCCACAGATTTTTCCAAAGCTGGGACTCATTGTGTGACCAAATTGACGTGTTATGAAGTATTATTTCTTAAGTTCTGAACAGCCACTGATAAAATGTTTGGAGATGATCTTATTCAATAGCTATTAAATTACCAGTGAACTAAAACTAAGGAGAAAAATATTAAACTATCATTTAGCCAAAAAGAAAATATAGCTGGAAATCTCAAATCTTTGATATGTATAAAAATTATTCTGAAACTCTAAAGACGCCAATATGACCTTGGTTATCACCGATGTGGTTTATGAAAAACGTATGTTACTGTGGAATTCCAGAAATGAATCAGAAGGATAGGTATACTCCATTACTAATTTTAAAAATAAGTGGTATATAACTATTTGGACATACACATGTGCTATTGTTGCTTGGTTAAAAAAATGTATACTTTAATATTTCTTTTATCTCCAAAAGTTGTTATCAATTTATTAGTTTATCTTAAAATGGATACAACCTTTAGAGGAGAAGAGACACATAAACATAAAAAACACAGAAGACTAAAATGCATCTCCAGTGACAATAAAACTACTTAAACTTAGAATTTAACTCCATCACTTCAATCATGAAATACACAGATAAGCACCATAGATTTTTCCCCTCCATTATAAGGGCCACACCCTGGAACTTGTTATTAAAATAAAACACTAACTTAGAAATGTTATTAGGTTGGTGCAATAGTAACTGTGGTTTTTGCCATTATTATTTTTTTAATGTCCCAAAACTGCAATTACTTTTGCCAACCTATATAATCAAAAATCCTAAAGTAATCACATAAAAGGTTTTTTTTTGACAGTCTTGCTCTGTCACCCAGGCTGGAGTTCAGTGGCAATGACCATGGCTCACTGCAGCCTTGGCCTCCCAAGCTCAAGCAATCCTCACACCTCAGCCTCTTGAGTATCTGAGACTACCATTCCCAGCTAATATTTTTTATTTTTTGTAGAGGGAGGGTCTCACTATGTTACCAAGGTTAGTCCCGAACTCCTAGGCCCAAGCAATCTACCCAACTCAGCCTTCCAAAGTGTTAGGATTACAGGCATGACACCATACTTGGCCTGAACTTCCTGTAAGTATTAATTCTTAGTTCTTTTGTATTAATTCCTTAACTTTTTTTTTTTTAAAGTTCGTCTTTTTAGGGGGACGAAGAATAGTGAGAAAGTCCTTGTTCTTTTTACACTGTCATTTTGAAATACTTTCAAACTTATAAAAAGTGATAAAATACAAAGAGTGGTATAAATACCAGCTTCCCCCACTGCTCCTCCTACTTGTATTGCTGGTATTACTAAGAGCAAACGTTTATTGAGAGGTTTATTAATTTTCCAGGCACTGTAATATAAAGAATATTGCATGAGTCACACAGTACTCTAATGACATTTAAATCTTCACTTCTTGGCCAGGCATGGTGGTTCACACCTGTAATCCTAGCACTTTGGGACGCTGAGGTAGCAGATCACCAGGTCAAGAGATCAAGACCATCCTGGCCAGCAAACTCCATCTCTACTAAAAAGTACAAAAATTAGCTGGGCATGGTGGTGCGTCTGCAGTCCCAGCTACTCAGGAAGCTGAGGCAGGAGAATTGCTTCAACCCAGGAAGCAGAGAGTGCAGCGAGCCGAGTTCACATAACTGCACTCCAGCCTGGTGACAGAGCGAGACTCCGTCTAAAAAACAAAACAAAACAAAACTTCATTTCTTGAGTAAGCTGAAATACCAAAGGTTCAGTAACATGCTCAAAGTCACAGCTAGTAAATAGCAGAGCAGGAATTTGAACCAAAAGACTGCCTGATTTCAAAGCTTGTGCTCTTACCCCCTAAGCTATCCTACCTAATTTAAACACTTATTTACTGTCTTACCTTACCATTTTATTCCAAGTATGGGTCTTAAATCCTATTTTAAATTATTTAAAATATTTCATATATAAAGATTTTTCTCAAGAGGCATACTTTCAGAACATATCCTATTTAATATTTTTATCATTATTCCAAATAAACAACATTTTCTCTCAGCATGAAACATTTCCCTCTACAGATAATGAAAAGCTTGTGACTTGTCTCAGGCAAACTTTTCTTAATGTACCATTTCAAATTGTTTTTTTCTTCCTTTCACGCGTCTGCTGAATTATAAACAACATGTGAACACAGAAGTTTATATGTTTATGTTCCTATCAATAGTGATAAACATGCTGAGGAGAACTTAACAAAATTTCTAGTTTTAAAACACACATACTAAAGTTATTTTCTTTTAGGAAAACAGACCTAAAAAGAAACCCAATTTAATTTTCTGCTTACTTACCTTGCGAGCAAAATCCCCTTTTCCTTTACTGTAGGCTTTGTTCTCAAGGAAATCATACACATAGTGCGCTAAAGCTGGGGATGCCTTCATCATTTCAGGAGCTAATAGTAGCTAACAGGAAAAAAAAAGATTATCTTAAACTAACAGGATGCTAGAGATTAACTACTGTTTATAATTTTAGCTCATGAAAAATGTATAGTTAAAAATATTGATTTATATTTTTAAAAATCCAATTACACAGTTAAGACAAAGTCACCAATAATTTTACGACAATTAACAGTCTGGTGTATATTATCTTTACCTCATCTATTTTGACTTTCAGTGTATCTAAGGTGAAAGTTGTCCAAATATATTTACTATTCTATTTTCAGATATTATAGCTTATACTAAGAAGATCCAGGTTAGAAAACTGTTGTTATTTGCATAACAATTCTGGAGTTAACATTAAATAAGCTGGGCAAGGTGGCTCATGCCTCTAACCCTAGGACTTTAGGAGGTTGAGGTGGGATAATTGCTCGAGCCAGGAATACAAGACCAGCCTGGGCAACAAAGCAAGACCCCATCTCTATAAAAAATTTAAAAAATTAGCCAGGCACAGTGGCATGCATCTGTAGTCCTAGCTTCTCAGGAGGCTGAAGCAGGAGGATCCCTTGAAGGCAGTTCAAAGCTGCAGTGAGCTATGACTGCACCACTGTACTCCAGCATGGGTGACAGAGCAAGACTCTGTTTCAAGACAAACAAAATAGTATGAAATAAAATACAAAAAATAATCCAAACAAAAATAATATGAAATAAAGTACATAAAATAATCCAAACAAAAACATTCAAGTGTTATATGAAAGTCCTTAACAAACTACTGCTTTCACAACTGCTAATATAGCAAACAACATTCTAGCTTAGTTCCTTCAGTGGAACAAGTTTTGACATATTATTAGCTAAGAAGTATGTAATACCATGACATTTAAAAGATACCTTTATGATAAAAGATTTTTTTCTTAAGAATCTTGTAGATAACTGATGCAGATATTAATGGAATTATAAAATAAGCACTTTAAAAAAATCAAACATTTGACCTAGGTCATAAAAGTGATGTCCAACTTAGCTTTAAGCCAGGAGAAGAGAGGCATTTGCATTTATCTAAACACAAACAGGCAAAATCCCTAACACTAAGTGTCTAGAAAACTTCTAAGTTAATCATTAAACACAGAAATAATGTTTATAAATTACTAAGCAGATCGCATGTCACATTTGACATGCTGCACAAAAGTGGTTGCTATCCTGCAATCACAGTAAAAACATTCTGCTATACCTGTGTGCTATATTAAATGAAAATATGTGGATAATAGTAAGCATGAACTTACCTGCAAATATGCATTTAGATCCTTTTTTCTCTTTTCTAAAAAATCTCTATCCATATTATTAAAAGTCTTTTTTCCAGGAAGCTTCAATATGCTTGACAGACTTTCAAACTGTAAGACAAAATACATTTAGTAGCACGTTTTATAGAGACAAAAGAATTTCCAAACTGAAGATTTCTCTACAAATTAAAAACATCTTCAAAAGATAATTTTGCAATATAGTAAGCAAAATCAGAAAATAAAAAACATTGTCCAAATATTCTCAAAACACAGTTCTATTATTATTTATTTAAAAAGTATTTTAAATCAAGAATGACAGACTCACATAAATGAAGATGGATACTGACCAATAGGGTTTCATATAATAGTCTCCCTCATGTTAAGATTGTTCAAAATTTTCAAAATAAAAGGTTTTGAAAAAATATTTTCCTTAATAAGCCTTGGACCAGTGAATAAAGTACCAGCAAATAAAAAGGCAAATTTCAAAATACAGATAGTAGCTAATTATAATCCTGTACATACACAATTATAATAAATACTGATACCTTTGCCCCATCAACCCCATTAAACATAAACTCATAGATTACACTATCAAAAAAAAATTAAGAACAATTTTACCTTTGTAAAATCACAAACACAAAGTAAATGTGTATACCATAAGTCTAGTACTTAACAGACTTAACATTTGGATGCACCTTCAAAGGTCCATCACAGTAATCTATAATACCTTGCTAAAACACAGATTTTTAACCATGCTAGCTGCTAAAATAGTGTAAAAGCAGTTATTTAACTAGTGACTGTACGTGATCAACAGCCTAGTACCTGAAATTTCAAAGAGCCTCACCATTTTTCCCATTTGATACCTATCCTAAAGTGAAACAAACTTTTCAAAACAGTATTTGTTCAAAACAACAACGTCTCTGTAAGGAAAACTAATTCTTGGTGGAGAGATTAAAGATAAATAAAAAGTATTAGGATAATATTCATCCCCAAACTGGAAGACTGTGATACATTGTTAAAGTAACGACAAATCTAACGGCTGCTTAGAGCTAAAATTTGAAGAAGTTCATTATACGTTATACATGAAAGCTAAAAAGTGGTTTTTTTGTTCCCGAATTGGCAGGAAAACCAAAAAAGGGTAAAGGCAATTTACATAGAAAACATTATACTACAGCAGTATTACCAAATTCGGTGATTCACGAAAGTATTAGAAATGGGTCCTCCTGAATATCACATGTCAAAAAAAAATTTGGGGAGCAAATTTACTTTTCCAAGGTGTCCTAAGAGACATTTCCTCCAATATGACCTATCCACATTATATTAAACTACTCGCTCAATTTTAGAAAATATATATATTTTTTCTGGCATTACCAAGTCTTGTGGGCCTGTACTGTATTTCCTCAAATTCATGTTGAAGGCCTATCAGTACCTCAGATTATGACTGAATTCAGACAAAGAGATGATTAAGTTTAAATGAGCCCCTTAGGGTAGGCCCCAAACCAACGTGACCGGTATCCTATCAGAAAAGAAAATTTGGACGCGCTAAGAGATAACAGGAATGCATGCACATAAGGAAATGGCCATGTACGGACATGGCAAGAACCCTGCCATCTACAAGCCAAGAAGGGAGGCCTCATGGCAAACCAAATTTGTCAATACCTTGATCTTTGATTTCTAGTCTCTGGAACTGTAAGAAAATCAATTTCTGTTGTTTTGGTTCACCTAGTTGGTGGTATTTTATTAGGGCAGCCCTACCAAACTAATATACCAAGGAAATACGACAGTACCCAATAAAATAGCAATTTATTTCATAAGCTTTAAAACATTAAACCTTGCTACTAATAAAAAAAAAAATAACAGTGTTTTTTCCTAAAGCCTAAATGACTAAAACATATTCCTTCTTAAGTTGTCTGTCTGGAAAAGAAACATAAATTACTAACAATTTTCTCAAACTATAAAAGCAAGGGAGAATATGCAAAAGTGTATACTCTGTATTAATTCATCACAAACTTGCTATTTGAAAGATTATTTTGAAGAACAAGCAAAAAATTGCCCATTCCCTGAATAGTAATATAATTTCCTCTGCCAAAAATTCACGAAACTGTTTTTTAAAGGCACATAAACAAAATTAGAAATTCACCAAAAAGAACTAAAATAAATTGTAAGAGGATTTTAATGTTTACAAAGAATTCAAATACTACACATAAATAAATCATGGATATTCTGAAATCAAAGATCTTACTTTTCTACATTAAACACACCAACTTTAGATTCCTAAAATACTGATGGAAAATTTAAAGAACATATTTGAAATTTTGTATTAAAAGAATTCAAGATTTGTTTAACATAGGTGCACATTTTTACTCAGTTACCTTAATGAATAGCTAATTAACATTTAAATCATTAGTAGTTTACCTATACCTACGTAGATTTCACCAAATAAAACAGAAATGCACAATAGCGACTACACTACAAGTTCTTAGAGCCAAAGACTTGGTTTGTCTTTTTCCATGTTATATTGCTAGCACCAAGAAAAGTACCTGACACATAGGAAAAACTTAATAAATATTTGTTAAATCAAAGAATGAGCAGTTCAGGCAATTTCCAACAGAATGTCATTTAACATTTTAATTACTTTGTTTTAATCCTTATACATCTTCATAAAATGTCAAATAAGATTATTCAAATTTTTAAAGAAAATAAATGATAGCTCATACATTTAGCTTGTTATGTATGTATATATGTATGTATGTATGCATGCATGCATGCATGCATGTATTTATTTATTTACAGAACAGGGTCTCACTCTGTCACCCAGGCTGGAGTGCTGTGGGGGGATCTCGGCTAACTGCAACCTCCACCTCCCAGGCTCAAGTGATCCTCCCACCGCAGCCTCCAGAATAGCTGGTACTACAGACAGGCACCAACATGTCCAGCTACATTTTTGTATTTTTTGTAGAGACAAGGTTTGGCCATGTTTTCTTAGCTAGTCTCAAACTCCTGAGCTCAAACAATCTGCCCACCTCAGCCTCCCAAAATGCTGGGATTACAGGCATGAACCACTGCACCCCGGCCTTGGAAAAATGTCAGATCATGAAAGTACATAAACAAAATGAAACTTCTTTTAAAATAATTTTACTTTAAAAGTTCTATGCAGTTACTATTTGTTCATGTTAACTGGCTGTACTGTGACCCACTGCTGAATTACAAGTTGTTACATTTTTCTTCCATTATTTTATTAGGGATTTGAGTTTTAAAAATATAGATAAGGCTAAGCTAAAAGGCAAACACCCTAAGTCTTATTTACAGATAATATTTTACTGAAACCTAATTTTCATTTAAAAGAGGAGTTTTTAATTTCTTAAGTTCTGTGAGCAATTTAAATACTTAGGTAATCACAACTACTGTGACTTTATAAGAAACACACACACACACACACACACACACACAAACACACACACAGAAACACCAAGTCAAAACACATCCATTTCACTTGCACTGAGCTGTTTGAAAAAGAATTGTGCTGTATCAATTTCATGTAACTTTTGGTGCTGAACTGAAAGGGGAAATTTCTGTATGAACCATCCTCTTACAGTTTTCTTAAAAGGTATGTTCTTCATTCACATTTGTCAATATATAAACATAATGCCTATAGTTACAGTCCAGAACATTTAAGTTAGGGAATGATTATTCCTCTTAACTAGAAAGAAAATTACAACTATTTACTCAAAGAATATTTCATATTACACTAAACTCTCTTTAATTTGCAAGTAAATTAACCTGCAAATAAATAAAACTACTCTTACCAGTTCAAATTATTTTTTAAATTATCATGTTTGGATAAAGTATAAGGATGAGAATAAAAAAGATATATGAGCTATATGCTTTTAGAACAATATCAAACAGGTAATTTTTTTTTTTTTTTTTTTTTTTTTTTTTTGAGATGGAATCTCACTCTGTCACCCAGGTTGAAGTGCAATGATGTGATCTCAACTCAAGGCAACCTCCGCCTCCCAGGTTCAAGCAATTCTCCTGCCTCGGCCTCCTGAGTAGCTGGAATTACAGGTGCCTGTCACTATGTCCAGCTAATTTTTTGTATTTTTAGTAGAGATAGGGTTTCACCATGTTGGCCAGGCTGTTCTTGAACTCCTGACCTCATGATCTGCCTGCCTCCGCCTCCCAAACTGCTGGATTACAGGTGTGAACCACTGTGCCCTGTCCTCAAACAGGTAATATTTTTAAAAGTAAAGCAATTATTTCTTCAATGTGGGGCACAAAATTAATCTCTGCAAACAAATCAAGCTAAACATGAAGAAAGGTTATATTTAACCTAACAACAGAAGAATAGGTATGTCCAAAGTTATTAATTTAATTTTCTTACTAATAAAAAAGTCCTTTTAATAGACGCTTCAGAAGTCAACATTAACCTGTTTTTCATTACTTTAAAGCTATTAATAGTTTATCTCACTCTATCCACAAGATATTTTAATAAGATTATCATGGTGCCAACTGTAGATTTTCCACTACCAAGTTAAAAAAGATATTTTCTGATTTCTTAAGTAGTACCATGTCATTGCAAAGCTTTAGTTCACCCAATCAGCTGTCACTTTTAACTATTACTGGTTTAGTAGCAGTTGTATACCTTAAAACCCTGAATGAATCGAGGACTTCTGAGTTAAAATAAATTTCCATTTATTCCAATTCATCAAAGATCTTTTATTTTTTTAAGTTGAGAAAATACTTAATTAAAAAATAGGACAGGGAAATAATTTCTTTAGATTTTTTATCTTTAAGAGTCCTTTTAAATTACTTCTATAAAACAAGAGGGTTTTATTAGTAAGAATTGAAAATATGATTTGGTTAATATTAAATTTATTTTAGGTTGTGATTCAAAATAACTTCAGTGATGTATCAAGGATTCACTTCACCATTACACTGCTAGATGAAGCTGCCATTTAAACTAACCTCTAGGTTTAAATTATGCCTTAAAAAACAAAAGCACAAAATGTCCTACAGTAATCCCTATCCCTACTTTGAAACTAAGCCCAAAAAACTCTGAAAAGCGCAATACACACACGCACACATTTTAAAATCAGAAACATGTATTCACTTTAATTTTCCAAGATATTTTTACCCTTGATATTTTGTCATTAGTCCACAATGGTTAGGACTGATAAAGTGTTCAACATTTATTACCTAAATGCTCAGATTAATTCTAAGATTTATGGTGATTATACCAAATATTCTTACCTTTTTAAAAATTAATATCTGAGCATCCTCAGAATTATTTGTAATCAAAATCAAATCAAGAAACAACATAAAATGCACACGTTTTTAAAACTTGATTACCTGTTCAGTGATTCTCATGTGGAAGTCATGGAAGTCACTATAACGACGATAGGTTTTCCACATTTCCTCACTGTTTAGGTTACGCCGGTGTACGGTGATGGCATATAATGCATATGTCTTGCCATGATCATTACAAACGCCTGCCACAGCATATGGGTCATAGTCAGCATATACTAGTCATTTAAAACAAAATGAAGAGGAACAAAAGACACAAAAAAGGAGGAAGACGAAGAAAACAAAAAAGATAATATGAAATGAAGAAGAATCTGAAATGACAGACTGAGACAAAAGGATGTCCCCAAAGGAAAGATTCCCATCCTCCATGCTCACATCCATAAGGTATTATATATAATGGCTATAACACAAAATAAACTAAGTTTAGTGTGACACTATCAACCACAAAGCAGTATCTATTACGATTCTCCCTTCCAAAGAGCTTTCTGTTACCACATCACTACATCATTACATTACTACATCTAACGTAACTCAGAGTGTAAAATTAGAATTTCTTAAATTTAATATAGAAAAAAATAAATACGATTTTGTACTAGCCTTCACTCTTCAGTTGTATTACAATTAAAATCTTTACAACTAAACAGCAACAGCCACAGGATAAGATTTATCTTCTGGCAATTTTATTTTTCTTTGACAATGTTAAATAGTTCACAAGTACAGTTTATTCTGGGCATTTTTTTTTTTCAAAGCATTTTCCTATTAATTTGCCACATACCAAGCAAGTCAGGTAATCTTTAAAATCAAAGCTCGTCCCCATTTTGTACTAATCTTAAGTAAGGATATACACTTCAAATACTTTTCTTTAACTTGTCTTTCTGATGTTCCATTTCTTTCTCTTTCTGCACTCTAAAATCTAGTCTCCAAAAGCTGAGTCTCTTCTTATCTGTATCTGGTGTATTTCTTAATCTATCCTCTGATCTTAATTTCAGTCAATGTATTTTTTTATCTCTAGAATTTTATTTGGTTTTCATAGTGTTTATTCTTGTCGTAGGATTTCTTTCTAGGAATATTTTTAACATACTTATGACCCAATCTATTAAGACTGGTATCTCCAAGTTCACAGGATGCAAATTATCTGCTGGTTCTGTTGGCTTTCTCTTATTGTGGTTCCTATTTCTTTCTGTTGCTATTAATTGCTTTCTGTAAGCTCATTTCCAACTGGTTTTATTTCTCCCTGGGTGTTCTAAGTGCCCTGGGCTAAGGAAACATTCATATTGAACAGTGTCAAGTGTCACCACGCTAACTGCTGGTTTCAGTGATTCAGAAATAATTTTAATACTAACTCTCTAGCATGAAATTTTGTGATACATAATCACTTGAGAACAGCTAAGTCCAGACACACCCATGATGGGATACAAGCTGGGCTTTCAATTTTTTGTGGGTGACAGACACCATTTCCAATCATGATCTTGACATTTCTTGTTCTTTCTGCTGAAGGTAGGCTAAGTTTTCCTAGTTCCTCTTTGACATCAAGTTGCCTTTTGTGACATTAGGATTTATGTGAAGAACTTTATTCCAGCTTCCCACAGCCTTGGCCCATCCTGCCTCTTCTAAACCAGAGGACATGAAAGTGCTACCTACCAAAATCAAGACCTGGTCTTTATGCTATATGAGCCCCTTGCTTTAACATCCCTTCACTTCCCTAAATTTATTTTTCCTCATGGTCTATGGCATCTGTAGATTTCCCTTTTCTGCTCTTCTTGTAATACTGTTTTCAGCCTTTCTATGTGTGGAAGGCAGGATTTCCCATAGCAGTTCAGACTACTATACTAACCAGAAGTCTAAAACTGATCTTATAAATAATAGATTACACTGATTCATAATTGTGAATAAAAGTGGTCAAGTTTTGGGGCTAAATATTTTGCTATTTTGTGTATAACTCGGCAGAAGAAGTTCAGTACAGCTTCTTGGTAAATTAATAGCATATAAGTTAGAACTCCCTATTGGCAAGAGTAGTTGGACAGAAACTCTTCCCAAACTTTCATAAAAATTTTACTAAGATTTGCATTTTCTTTTCAAAATTGTCTTTCATTCCCTTTCTATGTAATATTACTGTTTCTAAACTGACAAAATGTATGCCTAGAAATACACTTTGGACACCTTGCTCTGTAAGTAGCACTACTATTCACTGTTCATCTTGTCTAGTTATCTTTCTCTCAGAGACTGATACAAATCAAACAGCACAACACTTTTTAATCATGTTAGAGAACCACCACTTCTCAATGGAGTTAGCATGGCAACAAGGGAATGGTTTTTATCAGGTGTGTCCAAGATAGGATTGAGAAAGGAAAATAGAAAGCAGAGGCCAACTAGGCAGCTAACCATCACAAATTAAAAATTAATAAGAACAAGGAGAATGGCAGGGAACAAAAAATGAGAAGAAATATAAGAAAGCATTCTAAAAAAGAATAATCAGGATTTGTCAAAAATCCATAGGCTTGGAAGATCACCCAGGGTGCATGCACCATAGGAAGAATAATGAGGTAATTATAAAAGAAATGCAGAAGACATCAAGGTAATTTGACTTAAAGGAAGATAAGGTGGGTTACAGATACTGGTTTTGCGAAGATGGTGATTTATCAAGAAGGGTTTGTTTTTGTTAATTAGGCCAATGTTACTCATAGCAGGTGATCTGCAAACTATCTGCTAATAATTCTTATTCCGTAAAAAAAAAATAGCACCAGAATGTAAATCAACTTTATTACTAATCATACTGTTTAAGTTAGCCAATACTTTTTAAAGCAAGACTTCTCAATGAAGGAGGCAATAAACATACTAGACTACCACTCTTGTGTGTGTACTGCTTCCTCGGACCATTCTTTCAGTAGCACTGGACTAGTCTATAAGGTCCTACTTTTTGAAACAAAGATGTTAAAGACACAGGATCTAGAACCAAAGAGACTCTGAAGTCCAGTTGGTAAGATATTTATTGAACCAACAATCAAATATGATGCCTGTTATGCATAATTACCAATGTAATTAATTAGTTCCATAACAACCTTATGAGTTACGTAGTATTGTTATTATTGCCATCCCATCCTACAGATAAGGAAATTGAGATACAAAGAGAGAACTTACTCAGGTTTACCCAGCTATTTTTTTTTTTAAACTAGACCTTAATTTTAAATGTCTCATCCAACTATTAATTGGCAGAGCTGGGGTCTGCGCCCAAGGAATTCAGTCAAAAAGTTGTACTACTCACCACTATGCTGCCTCTTCAGTTTTTCTATGTGTTTGTCAGGCAGAAATAGTTTCTTTTTTTTTTTTTTTTTTTTGAGACAGAGTTTCGCTCTTGTTACCCAGGCTGGAGTGCAATGGCACGATCTCGGCTCACCGCAACCTCCGCCTCCTGGGTTCAGGCAATTCTCCTGCCTCAGCCTCCTGAATAGCTGGGATTACAGGCACGTGCCACCATGCCCAGCTAATTTTTTTGTATTTTCAGAAGAGACAGGGTTTCACCATGTTGACCAGGATGGTCTCGATCTCTTGACCTCATGATGCACCCGCCTCGGCCTCCCAAAGTGCTGGGATTACAGACTTGAGCCACCATGCCCGGCCTAATAATTTCTTAAAATTGCCTAGCACAGTGCTTCCATACATTTTAAGAAGTTAATAAATACTTGTTTTATTCCAGAAATCTGGGGTGAACAAATGTCAATTGAGACTTCAGTTCCAGTGAGAAGAAAAAGGAAACAAAGATATATTTTTAAAAGATGTAAATTAATGTCTTCTAAACTATACTATACTATAAAAATCTCTTCAGTGGCTAAAATCTAAGCATAAAATTGAATCAAGGCATATACCTTAGTATGTTTACACTTCAGTATATATGACAAACAAACACACTCTTGTATTCTAAGAACAGTGAGAGGTCAGATAAGAAAATTGTCATTATTTAATACTCATTAGTATTATCTAATAACTTAATGGCATTGATGAAAACTGATAACTTTTCCTGGGTTTACTAACAATTCTCCATGTATGCTGAATAAGCATAAAGTTTTAGAGACTTCTCACTCCATTCAAGCACTTCTTGAAGTTCTGTGAACTCCTATAATGGGGGGGCTTCATTTACTACAGTTATTTAGCCTGACTTTGTATGTATGAAAACTAAGCCTGAACTAAGATCGCTCCAGAAAAAATTTAATGAGAATTATACAGACAATTATCAGCCAGACCCAAGCATCAAAGAGGAAAAGAATGGTTTCAGAATTTATTAGAAATGGTAAAACACTTAGAATTTAAGCATTTTCAAATGTTGATAGTGACAATCTTAGAGAGATCAAATACCCAAATATATAAGCACATAAATATCATAGAATTTAATGAAGAACATGCTTCAGAAGAAAAGTAAAAAAAAAAAAATATATGACTACAGAACAAAAAACATGGTTAGTAAAAATAAATGTGAAAAGTAATTTATGGATAATAAATAGTTTTAATGCAATAATTATACTTCAAAGTCTCTTACCAGTGTCTGAAATGTAGGCATGAAGTTGTACTGAGTCATCAGAAGACACATTTGAAAGGTCATCTAAAGACTGAGAAAAAAAAAAATCAGGATACAAATTTTTAAAATTTTATAGGAAAAAAAGTGTCAAAGATTTCTACATCATATATGCATTACAATTACTCATTTACATGCATGTAAATTATATATTATTTCTATCCCTCCATCCACTCCATACACAATAATCTTTTCTATTTAGGCTAATAGAAAAAAAGCAAAGATTAGGAAACAATAAAACAAAATAATTTAGTAATAAACAATCTATTAGATTATTTCATCCTTAATTGCTTGTCCATCTACTCTAACTTGTTACTTTTCAACTGTGGTCCTTATATGGCAAGAAAATCTAGATAAAAATAAATAGACATATTCTTAACATTTATGTTGAAATATACCAGAACCAGCTCTGTATTTTTTAACTTAATATTTTTGTTAATTTAGAAATAATTTTTAAATTTAATTCAGAATCCTTATCTATAAAATGAGAATACCACCTAAGTTACAGAATTATGTGAAGATTAAATAAGACATAGAAGACATTTAGAAAACTGCCTAATGTAACAAATCTTAGCTATTATTCTAATTATTTATTAAATGAGGTGAATCCATAGACTATGATAGATTTTAAACGATTAATTTTCAAAAGCAATTCCATAAACAAATTCCTATTGACTCAAAATGAATCTTTTGTAACTACAGCCTTTGGGTCTAAACTTCAAAAATGTTTTTGCCACATATACATACATATACAAATACATAAAAAGGAACACATTCATACAATGAAAGCAGACTGCAGAGTTAACATGGCAGCCTACAACTGCTCTGCTTAGACAAGACTGATTCCGGAATCTGGAAACTTAAATTTAGGGAAGATTCCCAGCATTCCTTAACCAGTAAGAGTGGTTTACTATACCTAAACTATCTATACAAGAATTGTTTATGCTGAACACCTGCTTTCCTTCTGGGAGTCTGAAATTTTGGTATGTGCAACGTAATCTGCCTCCAATAGAAAACCTGTACATTTAGTCTCCAATGAGTTTTCCTGGTGGCAACATTTTACACATGTTGTCTTGCTGATTTGGCTTTATAACCTTTCATGGTTAAGAAATTCTAGCCGTAAGTCTATAGTGGGCCCTGTGAGTTTTCTTAGCAAATCACTGAGCCTGGGAGTGGTCTTCAGGACACCAAACACATATAATTTAGACATATTTCATGTATTTACATTATTCACACGTCACATATTCATGTTACATAATTCAGATATATTTCACACTTTAAAAATAATAGAATGTGAATGAGCTTTTGAGTCCTAACATAATATTATTATTACTAAAAAAGTCATCTAAATGACTTAAATGCAACCATTCATATGACACAAAGTCACTTAAGGCAACTGCATTCTAAGAAGGGAAAAAATATATCTACTAAAAACTGATTGTTAGTAGAAGCAAAATGTGATAATTCTATAGAGACAGAATTACAGAGATTTTCTACAGATAATCCACAAGACTTCCCTGGTCAACTCAAATGGCAAGGACATCAAATTAAATGAGATCTAGTCCATGCTCTACTACAAATACCTTAAGAGACTTTAGCCATATCAACTACTTTCTCGGATTTCAGTTTCCCAATGGTAAAACGGGGCTAATACCTGCTCTACATCTCTGTCGGGACACACTGTGAATGAAAATACTTTAGGGGGAAAAAAAGAATGCACTTCTTTTTACGTGCTCAAGAAAACATTTTAATAGAAATAGTACAACATTTACTTCAACATTTTTATGTGAAAGAAGACTCGGAGGAAATGGAATATTCTACCAAATTTATATCACCTACTATAACTTCTTCTGTTTATAAGCCAGCACAGGTAACACAATCCACTTTTTTAAACAATGCGTTATTAATAATGGTAACCTTCCCTTGTAACGTTAACATTTAAAATGCTAAATGTATTTATCTCTTTAAACATGTTAGCATCTCAAACTATGCAATCCAAAAGTTGTTAAAAGGCTTTGTGGAAAAAATGTCTTTTCATCTCATTTAAAATACGCAATTTGTAAATACTATTTTTGTTACATATGATAAAACTATTAGTTACAGTTATAGTACACAAGTAAATATCAAGTAAACTATAAAGTTACAATTGGTAAAATAATATTTACAAAACTACATTTGATTTAGAAATGTAAGAACTGATTACTTAAAAAAGAACTGTGATTTCAAAACATGTTCATTAATGCTATATTGAAATAAGCACAATTTGCAAAGTGCTCTTTAAGTTATGGTTCTTAAACTCCTTGCAAGCAAAGGTGTTTTTTAACACTAAGACAAAACTTGAAAACTTCAATTTTACTGTGATAGTTAATCAAACACAACCATAATGGCACTAACAGAAATGCTTATAATTTACCTACCAAGCTACCTATGGCAAATGTATACAACACCAAGCACATTAAATATCTCCTTTGTTTAGTATGTTGGAATAAACTATCGTGACATAGTTTACAATCTTAAGCTACTTTTAAAATGCAGATATTCACTAAAATTTGCCTACATGGTCCCACTACTTAAAAGTATGAATTAAATAGATTTACAGGAACAATAAAATACTCCAAGTCACTGACCTCAAGTATGACCCTTTTTTTGATTCAGAGACTATTCTGGTTTATATTAACATGTGATAAGAGATTTCTCTTATTTGGAAAAGCATTTATTCCAGACATGGAATAAAGAAAAAATCTTTTTTACTAGTGTTTAAACATTTACACAAGCATTACAAATGTGAATACTAAAAACTTTCAAACCAAGGAAGAGTTTTGTCACATTTGGAAACTCTGCTGTATAATGAACATTATTTTTAACACTTCCTTCAAGCTCTAGGATAAATTTCTTTTTGTTTAAAGCTCTAGACTGTAACAAGGAAATGGTAGTAATACCAAATGATTTAGGGAAACATTTTAAAAGTTACAAAGTATCTGACAATTCTACCACAGATTTGCCTTAGTGTTTTACTAAATGTTATAATACAGTAACAAAACATTTACTCAATAAAGTTATTTTAGAAGTAAACATGGTAATATAGATAACACCTAAGAAAAATTACCTGTAAAACATATAGCTATTACAAAAGGTCTAAAACAAAAAGTATAAACATTTGTGTGTCACAAACTAACTGCCTATCACAGCAGTGGTCAGTAATTTAAACACATAAATATTGGAACAGAAAATAACAAAATCAATTTATTTATAAAATGCACAAAAGCAATTATGCAGGTGTAACCTAAGCCAATTTTTAAAGTAAAGATAAAATATTTTTAAGTTCTAATTCATAGATACCTTATATTGTGAACTTAGCATTTCTTTAAAAGCATAGTAACTTTTTACAATACTAAAGGATGATTTGGGGGCCTGTTTATATATAATGTATTTACCTATGTTAAGGCTCAGTCTTTTACACTATTTTCAAATCACTTTCATAATTAAAGTACCCATAATAGTACTTACCAAATTTATGCTTCCTGTAGGAGACCCATTAAAAGATTCTGCAGGGGGGAAATTCAACTTAGTATACAGCAAAAAACTTTAAAATAGTTCCTTTATCTAAGGTTCAAACACCAAGAATGAAAGTCACATAAGCCAAGATATAACAGTAAAAAAAACAAAACAAAACTGTGGAACACTCCCAAAAACTTGATCCCTTAAAGTTCCATGCTGTTGCAAGCCAGACATTTAAATGACAATATAATATGTACCTGATAGCTGGGAAAAAACCAAAAAGGCATTCGTGTTCAGGAGAGAAATTATTAAATGTTTTTATTCTCATGGTATCAAATTAAATTGCCTAATACAATGTAAGCATGAGGAAAACACTGCGGAATGAGACCCATTAAGAAACATCAGCACTATTTTTTAACTTCTGTCTCACTGGATTAAGAAAGATTACAAATAAAATAGTCTGTAGTGTGAGGGATAAAGAGCCTGATTTTTAATAGGTCTATTAAGTCCTCTTATTCTTGGTGGTAGATTTTCTTGAAAACACTGGAAGTCCAAATTTTTACATCAATATACAACTAACAGACAAAAAGACACTTAAAACTCCATATGCAATGCCATTTAATTAAAAAGCAACTAGGAAAATTATGTTAGAGAGTAAGTCAATTTTAGGTTATTAACATTAATGTCAAATAATAATCTTTTCCCTTAGGTTGTATCATAAATCTAAGAAAATTAGGTTACCAGTTAAGGTGTTCCTTTATTAAATATATAAACAAATCTATGGTAAAGCAATATTCATATACAGTTTAATGCAAGGTTTCTAGCACTTAAGAGGTTATTTATGAATTTGGTTCTCTAAATGGGTCTTCAAAAAAAAAAAAAACAAGACTACTTCTACAAGGAGGCAGCTGATACTGCCTTCTAAATTTATTGTAAATGCTAAAGAACATTTCTTGGTTCTTCAGCCCTCTGGTTACAAAAAACCGGGAATTGCACCTAGGATTATCCTTTGGTGATACTTAAAATGAGTAAATAGTACTCCATCCTCTTTATTCAATTATATGCTATATGCCTCCTACTTCTTCTGTGGTCTGCCCACCTCTTAAATCTTCCCACCAAAGACAAATCAAGTTAAAGGAGAATTTGGGAGCAAAATAAGACAGAGTTTACTTTCTTGATCAACAATAAGAAGATCCAGAAATACCGTATGAAATCAATCTTGGTCCACATTTAATCAAGAATTTGGTAACTATCTACAAATATTAGAAAATGAAAGAAAGCAATGTTCAATATGGGGAGAAAAATAATGGAAACATCAGCACTATTTTGTAACTTCTGTCTCACTAAATTAAGAAAGATTACAAATAAAATCAGTCTGTAGTGTGAGGGATAAACAGACTGATTAAAATTAAAAAGGAAAGCATACTTCATATAATTTTAAAAGACTGTGAGACCTTCTTTTAATAAAGGAGAAAATATCTACTTTTAAAATAATTTAATAACTAAAGAAAGTAATCATGAATAGAGAGAAAGGGCAAAGGAAGAAATGAGGAGAAAAGGAGAGAGGAGAGACAGTAAGCAAAATCAAGCCATCCAGCTAATTCTCTACCTATTGTTAAGTTTGGTTAAATAGGAATGAAATTCCTAACCCAGCAAAGAAAAACCACCAGAGGATACAGTACTATGCCATATGATAAGATGTGGTCCATTAATTTTATGCTCAACTGTAGACTACTTTTTAAAAACAGCAGCTACTCATTAATCCCTAGATTAGACAATTATTTCAGAATATCTAAAATGTAGTTAAAATTTCACAATGTTTAAAAAATACATGTAGCACTGAGTAGCTTAATTTTAAGTCAGAAAACTAATTTATAACAAAAAATGTGGAAAGGCCTATTTTTGATTATATAATCTTATAAAAAGGTAAATCAGAAGCATTACTATTTAAGAAACGTAAACCAGTGGACTAAAATCTAAACACTGACAAAAACAAAAAGCTGACAGTTATTTTAATAATAATGTTTCATATTATACCCATCACTCCACAAACTTTTTTCAAATGGTTTCAAAAAAAAGGATAGGTAATTTCACAGTATAAAACTCATCATTAAGAAACACAATATTAGAAAGCAATGTCCTAGAAAGACAGTAAGATATGTAAGTATATAATCTCAAACTGCAATCAATGATTCAAATGTGAGGGGTTACTCAATGACTGATGTATAAGAGAAGCATATTTACTTCAGATCAAAACCAGTTCCAGAAAAAAAGAATTTAATGTACTTCATGTTTTAAAAAAATACAGTATATGATTGCGATTACTTCCAATAGTTGTATTGAAGAAGACAGTCTGCCTGCAAAGATATGAATGGAAGCTAAAAGTCCATTTAAAAGACTGGAAGAGTTCTTAAGTTATAGGATAAAAAATTACTTCCATAGAATACATTGCTACTGTCACCAGTTTAAATTACACATTACTTAGAAGACCATATAATTAGGTGGTTATGACTCTGTCTTCTCTGAGTCATACAGCAAATCCATTTCACAAATACTAAGAAATTTCTAAAATAGATAAAATTAGTATAAACAACGGAAACTTTTATAGCAGTCATTTTAGGATGGTTAGTTGACACAGAGTTGCTATTGCAAATTTCATAGCAGCTCTATAAAAGAACATTTTTCAACAGAGATAGTAAGTACAGATATATATTATACAACAAACCAGAGGTATATTAAATTTTACTATTCAACTCACAGAGAAAAAATTTATTTTTTAAAAAACTTCCTTTATGCAGTCAAATGCAGTTAATAGATTATTCCAATTGTACATATAAACTTGAAAGAGTATTAATTAAAAAACCCAAGGCATCAGATTCATAATCAATATAAAAGTTATTAAAATTTAGATGTAAACTTTGGTAACTAGATTTCTTAGATAATTTAAAAAACAAAACCTCACTAGTGTAGACAGAAGGATAGGAGGTGGAGGAGAGGAGAGACTGGGAGACTTCCATAATAGAGGTATTTTTTAAAGTAGTGCTCACTATCTAATAGCTCTATTGTATTTCTATTCCCAAGTGTGCTTGTCCATAAAACCTATTCATAAGTAAATGGTCATAACTGAAGCACTTTCTTAAAATATTTAAATCTCTTCCATTTACTTTTTATTGACCTTGTTCATTTACGTGGTAGAACATACCAGCAAGTTCTTCAAATCCTAGATATTTAATTAGAGTTTAATAAATACTTCTGAACTGAATCACAAGTAAATGATAATTGGGCCTAAGATTTTGGAAACTTGCGTTCTAAGGGCTATGCCTCCCGCTATTCTTATGTAACAGTATTTACTAACAAAAACCGATACTTGTGTTTTACTTTATAAATCATTTTCATATGCATAATTCCATTTAAATCGAAAAGTGACTAATTTAAGATATTAAGTCTTATTCCAGATTTACCAACTCAGAAAAATGAGGCTTAAAGAAATTTAAGTAGTTGGTCAACATCACCCAGGTAATAAGTGGTAGAATGGGAGTAAAATCTAAATATTCTGATTCTTAAACCATTTTTTTCACCATAACATGTTAATCAGGTCTCATTATCCTCATTTGAAAAAAACTGATAGTTGGAATAAATGACTCATAACTTTTTCTAGTTCAAAAGTCTCTCACTCTGTGTAGGATTTGGAAAAGTATACAATTAAAGATATCTAAAACTGTAGTTTTATAATGCTTTATAGCAGGCATCCCCAAACTATGGCACCCTGAGGCCATTTATCCGGCCCCCCGCCGCACTTCAGGAAGGAGCACCTCTTTCACTGGTGGTCAGTGAGAGGAGCACAGTATGTGGCGGCCCTCCAACTGTCTGAGGGACAGTGAACTGGTACCCTGTGTAAAAAGTTTGGGGACTCCTGCTTTATAGTTTATGATATACTCTGAGTCATTACTTACTGCATATTAAATCTTCTCAATAATTCTACTGTTAATCATGAATATTAGCAAAAGAGAAACTTCCATAAAAATATTTTAGTGACTCACCTGAAAACATTCTTCTTTAAAAATTCAAGGCTTCTATAGTTATATTCTAATCCATTATTAAAATTTCAACATTTTAATTTAGTACAGTCACTAAACTTTGTCATTCATTTGTAGATTTTTAAGTACATTATATTTGGACTTCAATAACATTTTTAACTTGTATAAAAGTTCTTTTTTTGGTAAGCAGAATACATATAAATACACATGCATATACGTGTAAAATGTGTGCCACCTTACCTCCATCCCCATCGTCGGATCCTCTGAAACTAGGATCTTTTAACATGTCAAGCTCAGCTAACATGCGCACATAAAGTGCATTCTGTCTGAAGGAAGGATAAAATCTTTCATCTCGTAGCATCAATTCATATACCTTGGTGAAATAAATCAAGATATTCAACAATTAATACAAATACATGGTGATTGCTATGAAATACAATTTCACCAAAAGATACATTAAGGTCTTGCCATAATGTATCATAGTTACAAGTTGTCAGCAATAAGACTATTTCCCAACTAATGATTTCCTCTGATCCTTCCAATAACTAAATTATACTGAAAAAAATCCTACTACAATGCAAGTCACAAGACAGCATATTCTGGGAAGTACTTTCTAAAAAATGAGTATATGTAAAGGTTCAAGGCTCATATTAAAATGAATTTGAGAGGCATGTTATTTACATGGCATCAATTCATCAAATTCTGAGACTACAATATGTAGCTCTACAACTGAATTCAAATAAAACAACCCAACTTAAGGATTTTTCTCAGAAAATTAAAGAAATAAACATAAATACTGGTTTACAGCTCTGGAATTGAGAAATGTAATTGCCATAGCTTACCTTTTTAATACCATTCTACTTTTAAAAGTTTTTTTTAAACTAATTACATTACATAAAAACATTTTTTTTCTCAAAAAAGATAAAAATGATAAATGCTGTACATAATAATACCTTCCTTTGAATGTCATCAAAGATTTCAGGGGTTGGATCTTCATGATTCAAAGTATCTGCTAATTTTGCTACTAAATAGTCATCAACAGTAACTCTTGGAGATGCCTAACAAACAGAAAAAAAAAAAAATAGTAATCTTCTCTGTAATTTCTAAATACAAGTTAATAGCATGATAATACTGGAATCATATTATTGAAAATAATTGGCAGGTAAGAATCACTGGTTTGTAAATGACACCTTGATGTTTAAGAGGGCTGAAACAGGACCAAAACCTTCTCTTCCTCATGTACTACATAATAGACTGGTAAACAAACATGGATTTAAATCCCAACTTTTCCTACCAAGTTATCTCTCACTAAGCTTCATTTATCCCATCTGTAAAAAGGAGATAATACTATATAAGGTTATTTAAGATTATTGTAAGGATTACAAGAGATCTATATAAGATATACAGCATAGTGTCTGGCACACAGGAAACACTGTCATTAGGAGTCAGTGTTTAGTATTCAGTAGTACTAGATGTCCATTAATATGACTGCTGAAAGAATAAGCCATTTCATTTATTATTTGACACTAGCGAATCCTTCTGAATGGCCTTCAAAGAGACTACCGTTATCCTAAATTTGGTTTTATAAACAACGTTGCAGCAAAGTTCCAGTGTGAAACGGGAAAAAATAAAACCTTTAAAATTGTTTTAAGAGCTTCCATTTCAAAGTATACAACAATACAGATAACAGAGGAAAATACAAAATTTGACATTTCAACTTCAAAATTACTTTACTGAAAGAAAAAAACACTGAAAAGCAAGATATGTCAACAGCTGCAGCATGTAAACTTTTGCATTTTTAGTTTTGAAAAGTCTGGAGAGTAAATGAGTTCTAGAGATGATTTTGAGAAACTTACAAAAAAAAAAGCATTATTTGCATAACTTCTCTAATTGATCCAATAAAATGAGGAATGAGTTGGACAAATTAAGGAGAAAAAAGTAAACATCAGAGTATAAATACGTAGGCAAAGGGCTATACAATGTCTAATGCCCCACTGTCAATTCAACACTTTTGTTAGTACACTGAAGTAGGTTGTGTAGTGGTTGTTTTTTGAGGGGGATGTTTCGTGTTTCAGAGGGCAGTGGAGTTCCCCTGAAATACAAACAGGAGAACTGAACAACTTCAGTATGTGACAAATATTAGAGAAATATGATATTAGTTGGTTTTGCCTTCATTTGCCCTCTAAGCTCACTAAACTAAGAAATCAAAAAGGCGAATTTGAAAAATAACATTTTAAATTTATTTAAACTTTACTTTTTCCTGTATATCTCAAGTACACAGAAATGGAGTAAGCCGCATCCTACACTTTTAGTGTAGCAATATGAAACACAACCAGTCAGAATCCCCTCTTCCAAAAAAAGTAATATAAAAATAGTATTTATATGGCCAGGCATGGTGGCTCACGCTTGTAATCCCAGCACTTTAGGAAGCCAAGGCAGGCAGATCACTTGCCAGAAGTTGGAAACCAGCCTTGCCCATATGGCAAAAATCCCATCTCTACTAAAAAATACAAAAATTAGCTGAGTGTGGTGGCGCATGCTCACAATCCCACCTACTCAGGAGACTGAAGCAAGAGAATTGCTTGAACCTGGGAGGCAGAGGGTGCAGGGAGATTTTGCACTCCAGCCTGGGTGACAGAGACTGTCTCAAAAAAAGAAATATTTGTACTCATTTGTTATTACTTCAATGTGAAAATATAAGAATGAATGTTTTTCCAAAATTATCTTCTAATGTGTATGGCTTACTTTTCTATCATGTAAATGTTATTATTTAAACAAACCAATGGAATTAGTTAACAGTGTGAGAAAAATACAACAGTATGTCATTTACAATGTTTCTCTCCTCTGATATACCAATTTAACTTCTTTAAAAACTCTGTAGGATATTTAAATTTTATAGGCTATATTATTTTGTATTTACTTAAAATATAGAAAGACTTCTTCTCTATTATACTTTAAGTTCTGGGGTACATGTGCAGATCATGCAGGACTGTTACACAGGTATACACATGCCATGATGGTCTGCTGCATCCACCCACTCCTCCTATCACCTACATTAGGTATTTCTCCGAATGTTATCCCTCCCTAATCCCCCAACCCCCTGTTATCCCTCCCCCGGCCCTCCCAACTCCCAACAGGCCCCAGTGTATGATGTTCCCCTCCCTGTGTCCAAGTGTTCTCATTGTTCACCACCACTTATGAGTGAGAATAGGCAGTGTTTGGTTTTCTGTTCTTGTGTCAGTTTGCTGAGAGTGATGGTTTTCAGCTTGATCCTCGGTAGAAAGTCTTTTTAAAAGACAAATGTACATAAAAGCAGAATGTACATGCAAAACAGGTATTATCTATATTTAACAGAAATAAACAATGACTGTTCTGTCTAGTCCATGATGCAGAATAGTTTTACTTTTTCTGTTTCCTTCTCTAATAAAATACTTTCCTGAACTGCCTGTAGCCTTTAGAGTATTTTTTAATGCAGTGTTAGCACTTAATATGGTCAAACATAAAAATTCACCTTGACTTTTAACTCTGCTCTTTTCAAGCCCACCTCACACTTATTTCTTATGTCAATTCAATGTGAAGGATTAAGTTAAATAAATTTTTTTTTTAATTTTTTTTTTTTTAGAGACAGAATATTGCTTTGTTACCCAGGCTGAAATGCAATGGTGATCATGGTTCACTGCAGCCTTGAAATCCTGGAATCAAGTAATCTTCCTGGCTCAGCCTCCCAAGTAGTTAGGAATACAGCCTTGTGCCACCAACTCCAGTTAATTTTCTTTTCTCTTTTTCTTTTTGTAGATACAAGGTCTCACTAAGTTGTCCATGCTAGTCTCAAACTCCTGGCCTCTTGCAATCTTCCCACCTATAATTCCAAAGCATTGGAAACAGGAGAACTCACGTCTATAATCCCAACGCTTTGGGATTATAGGTGTGAGCCACAGTACCTGGCCTAAATATCCTTTCAACAAAATAATTTGGGCATATAAGAACTGGTATTTTATTAATTTAAAAGCACATTTTTAACTGTAGTCCCAGCTACTCTGGAGACTGAGGCAAAAGAATTGCTTGAACCCTGGAAGTGAAGGCTGCAATAAATCAAGATCACACCACTGCACTCCAGCCTGGGCGAAAACAGCAAAATTCCATCTGCCCCCACAACCACTCCCACCAAAAAAAACAGGTTTTTAAATGTGTAGAAATTTGATTTTGGTTCTCAAAAAAAACGTCCAAAAGCTATATATATGGCTTGTTTGGTAGGTAGATCAATGTTTGCCAATTAGGTCTTTTCCATGTCTAAATTCTATCCATGTCTACAATGCTCATTTTTAAATACTTTGAAGCATAATGATGTCATCATAAGTTAAATCTCTCTAAGAGGAAAAATGGTTTTTAAATACACAGATACACTAGTGAAACTGAAGTTCAATTCCAAATAAATTTGTTTTAGGAGAGAAACAGAAAATCCTGTTTAAGCTGGCTGTCCTTTTCTAGTGACTTTTTGTTTTTAATATTATTTCAAAAACAAGAGTCATTTTGCTCACTAAATGAGTGTTTATCACAACCTACATGTAACATCAAACAACTCAGGTCAGTCTGTCAATTGTTTTCTAGGCTGCTTTTGGCCTTGTCAAAGATCATCTACCAATTTTAGAGAAACTCTCTTTACTGCAATCTTTTTCTCCATTTTCATTCAAAAAGTATTTTAATTTAGAGAAGGCCTTTTTTATTGTCCTATTCTTAAAAAAATACGATTTTACCAAAGATTTTAGCATCTTTTCTATAGCCAGTAAGAATTACATCTTATTAAGCAATTTATTTTATTTTCTATTTCTTCTTGAGTTAGTATGGTAATCTGTGTCTAAAAATTTGTCCACTTTAATATGTTGTCATAAAGTTGATTAATTTGTTGTCATAAAGTTGATCATAATATTTGCTTACTCCTCTTAATTTCTGTAGGGTCAAGGGTCATGTCTCCTCTTTCATTTATGAATTTGGTTATCTGTCTTCTCTCATTTTTTTCATGGCCAGCCTAGCTAAAGGTTTGTCAATATTGTTGATAGTTTCAAAGAATCAACTTTTAGCTTCAGATTTTCCCTATGGCTTTTCTGTTTTCTATTCATTGATTCTCATAATAATCTTTGTTTCCTTTCTTCTGTTTGCCTTGGGTTTATTTCTCATTTCCAGATTTTTAAGGTGAAAACTTAAGATTGTTGATTTTAGATCCTTATTCTAATTAGACATTTTTGAAGCTACAAATTTTCCTCTAAGCACTAATTAGTTGTATCCCATGAATTTTTATAAAATGCATTTTCTTCCCAATTAAAAATAGTTTCTAGTTTCCTTGTCACTTCTTGCTGATTCAGAGGCTATTTAGAAATATGTTATTTAATTTTCAATTGTTTGTAGTTTCTCCAAATTTCCTTTTGTTCATTTCTAATTTGATTCCATTTCAATCCAAGAACGATTTCAATACTTTTAAATGGAGATGGCTTTTAAGGCCTTGCAAATGATTTATCTTGGAGAATGTTCCCTGTGTTCTTGAAAATAATGTGGATTTTGCAGCCATTTCTTGAAAATAATGTGCATTTTGCCGTCGTTAGGTGAAATAGTCTATAGAATAATATACACATATTATCCTATAAATTCTAAAGCAATTCTATTCCATATATGTATTCTATACATTCTATAATAATCTATACAATAATATGTAATATTCTATAGACTCTACAGATGTATTATACATTCTGTAGAACTATAGTTAGCTAATATAGTATATATATTATTCGATAGCAGTAAGTAATTTGTAATGTTCCTAAAGTCTTGCATATCCTTGATGTTTTTCTAATTGTTTTATCAAATATCAAAAGTGGGGCATTGAAGTCTCCAAGTATAGCCACTGAATTGTCTCTCTTACCCTTCATTTCTGCAAATTTTTGTTTCATGTATTGGGGGTTCTGTTATTAAATGCATATACATTTACAACTGTTTTACCATCCTGATCCTAAGAATGAAAACATCCTTCTTCTCTTTTGTTTCCTTTGCATGGTTTATCTTTTTCTATCATTTTACTTTCAGCCTGTGGTGAATCTAACGTGTGATCTTGAAACCTGATTCTGTCACTTAGTACTTGCACGACGCTGGCCATGATAATCTCACTACCTAAACATCAGAGTCTTCATTCAAATGAGAATAAAGACAGACAGGAAGATTGTTATCGAATAAAGGAGACAATGTTTGTGAGGTAGTCAGCCTGGCATGAGCAATGGATTACAAAAGTTATTAATCATACTGCTAAAGAAGAAAACAGTAATCAAAATACACCCTCACCTTTTCTGATAAATACTGTTCATAAATTCCAACAGCAGCTGCTCTTAAAAGACCTTTGGTTTGGTTGGTTTGATGTTTTCCGTCTCTCTGACGACTTAACAAAACCTCTAGCTGCTGTTGGGCGGTAACCCGGTATCCTTCCACTGTCATCCAAAAGAACAGATGTGCTTGTCCTCCAGTTTGCTGCATGTAATCTACCAATCAAAATCCATAACAACATGAATATTAGTGTTACACAATTTAGGGTCCATGTAGCTGTATGACAAGTAAAGAAGGATTAAAGTTTCAAGTATTTAAAACTCTACATTTCGAAATGTTTTAGCAAATGTCTGAGGTGAAAATATAGTTGTAAATTAGTTAAGCAAAAAACCAGTTATGTTAAAAACATAAGCAAAGGCATCTATTTTGGAATTTTTAAAATCCCACTTTTCATGATAAAATCTCTAGTGAATAAATTTGTAATGTAAAATATTCAACATTTGCTCTCAATAAAGATTGTTATAATATGAATATTTCTAAACATATTTTTAAAAACAACTCAACAAACCACATATATTTTTTAATCACAAAAATAAAAATGTATATTTACTGAAAATGTCCTCCACATAAAAGCAATTCTAATGTAATAGTAATAAGATACAAATAAAAAATGTATATACTAAAATGGTATAAAAACAAAATCCCTCATGTACACATGAACAAAAAATGATACAAACAGGTTATATACACTGTATGTTCCCAATAAAGTACTCTCTCTCAATGAATTTTAATTTGCATTAGAATCTCCTAGAATTTACTTTAAAAGCAGCTTGTTAAATGCACATTACTTAAGACAACTATTTCCTTCAAAACAAAATAAAGCTCTACCTCCATTATTTCTAAAGAAAAACATTTCAGAGAATAAAAGGTGGACTGAATTTAGCATGCAAAATATTAACTACTTAAAATTTAATAATATTTAAAATTCTTAAAAATTTCAAAGAAGATGTGGGAGTGTGAAGCACCAAAATTCTCTCTCCACTTCCACAACAAGCACAATGGCAGAATCTGATGTAACTAATCTGGAACTCTAGAATCTACTGAAGACTTGCAACATTCAGGGGAAGGACTTGGGAAGTGAGCTTTGGTTAATTTCAGTCCATTTCAGCTCTTAGCACAACTGCACCTACCCATTTCACAGGCCCAGACCCCCTAGAACAAGTAGCTGTGCATGCATTCCAGGATTAGCTTGTACACAGCAAGTAGGAACTAGGGTGGACAAAAAAACACCTTGTCCTTCAAATATTTAGGATCTAGGCTGCTTCTGATCACAGAGGTGCGGACAAATAGGGAGCCTTTGTTGTTATGTATCCCTTGATTGGTCCAAGCCCCTTTCCTTCCTGCTGAAGTAATGACCAAGGGATTTAAAAGACTGGCACCCTTTCTCCCTTGCCTCCTACAGTTTTATCTTTTTCTCCCTTTGGGAACCACATGTTAAAAATGAGGACATTCAAAGCAACCACATATGTGGGAAAATTAGAAAGTGACTATGCATATCCAGAGAAAAGCACAAGCTCAGAATACTCTTGAAAAGACCTTAAGTTTATACCTCAGTCTGATCCTTAGCATAGACAGCCTACATATTAAAACATAAAAAATAAAATAATAAATAAAAATAAAAAACAGCAAACCCTGAGGAAAGGAAAGAAAGTGATTTCCAGAGTCCTACATTATTAGATTCCAATGGCCAGTTATTCATAAACACACACACACACACACACACACACACACACACACAAACACACACACACACACACACACACACACACACAAAGCATACAAAGTACGTGGCAAGTGTGGCCCATTCAAAGAGCAAAAAATGCCAACATATATCAACAGAAATTGTCCCGAAAAAAGACCTGATGGAAGTTCTGCTAGACAAAAACTTTAAAACAACTGCCTTAAAGACGCCCAAAAGACTAAAGGAAGATGTAAAGAAAGTCATAAACAATCAATGAACAAAATGGAAAGATCAATAAAGAGATAGAAAACATAGAACAAACCAAAATAAAATTATGGAGGTGAAAAGTACATAACTAAAGTAAAAACTGCACTAAAGGAAATTTAAGGTAGATTTGAGCAGGCAGAGGAATCAGCAAATGTAAAGACAGAATAATAAAAGTTGTAGGGTTCAAGAAACAGAATGAAAAAATATGAAAAAGAGTAAACAAAGCCTAAGGAACCTGCTAGACCAATTACATGTACGAGTTCTACAAGGAGAAAAATGAGAGAAACAGTCAGATCATATTTGAAAAAATGACTGAAAATTTCCCAAATCTGAAGAAAGGCATGAGTATAAACATCCAAAAAGCTCAACAATCTCCAAGTAAGATGAATTCAAAGATACCGACATGGAGACACACATCCGAAAGCAGAAAGAGAAAAACGACACATACAAAAAAATACAAAAGATTATCAGATTTCTTTCAAGACACTGTGGAGGCCAGAAGGTGATGGAGTGATATTCAAAGCACTGAAAGAAAAATACTGTCAACCGAGTTCCTATATCTGGCAAAGCTGTACTTCACAATGAAAGTGAAATAAGACATTCCCAGATAAACAAAAGCAAAGGAAGTATATTACCGTTAAGACCCGCCTTGCAAAATAAAAGAGTAAATTAAATAAAAGGACACTAGATCTTAACTTTGTACTTTGAAACTGTATGAACAAATAAACGTCTCAGCAAAAATAAACATATAGGCAATTATAAAAGCTAGTATTATTTTAACAATGATTGGTAACTCTATTTTTCTGTTTTTTATGTGATTTGAGACAACTTTTTAAAAATCAACTATCAGTTTGAAAGCCAGGAATACTGTGTACTTTGATACTGCACATCCTGATTTCTACATAAGTTACAAAAGTAACTCATTTAAAAGAATTATTAGCCCATATTTTGAACATACATTTTGTAAAGACTTAGTTTTGTGACATCATCAAAAAAAGGCATGTGGACAGAGCTGTAAAGAATAAAGTTTTGAAAGCATCTGAAATTAAGCTGACATAATTTCAAATTACAGTGTCATAAGTTTAGAATGTTACATGTAATCCCCATAGTAACCACAAAGAAAACAGCTACATAATATACATAAGAGGAATGAGAAAAAAATTTAATCATGTCACTACAAAAAAAAAAATCAACTAAATACAAAAGAAGTCTTAACAAAAAAGATATAAAGCATGTAGAAAACAACAAAATGACAGAAGTCTTTCCTTATTAATAATTACTTTAAATGTAAGTGGATTAAACTTTTTAATGAAAAGACAGAGACTGGTAAAGTGGATTTAAAAATTAATATAATGATATGCTATCTATAAAGATTTTAGATACAAAGACATACATAGTCTGAAAGAGAAAGGATAAAAATCACATCACAAACCAAAATAGAGCAGGGAGGGCTATGCTAGTATCAGGCAAAATAGACTTGAAATAAAAAAAGTTTAAGATATAAATAAGGTCATTCTATATTAATAAAAGATTCAACAGAGCAAAATGATTCAACAGTTATAAACATTTACATAGCTAGTAACAGATCACCAAAATATATGAAGCAAAAACTGACAGATTTTAAGGGAGAAAGAGACAGTTCCACATTAAGAGTTGGAGACTTCAATGTTCTACTCTCACTAACGAACATAACCAGACAGAAGTATGGAAACAGAGAACTTAACACAATATATCAAGTAGATTTACAAACATACAGAACACTTCCCAACAACAGCATACAGCTTCTTCTCAAGTACACATGGAACATTTTCTAAAACAGACCATACAATGGGCCACAAACTGAGTTTCACAAGGTTTTTAAAAATGAGTATCAAGCAAAGTATCTTCTCAACTACAAAGGGATAAAAACTGGAAAACTCATATATTTTTGGAAATCAACACACTTTTTATTTACCCTACTTACCCTGTGAAAACATTAAAACACACACAACCAATTAATCAAAGAAGAAATCACAAGAGAAATCATAAAATATGTAAAGATGGATGAAAACAAACATCACATACCAAACTCATGGGACAGAGCAAAAAGGAAGATCTCAAATCATCTTTCCTTATGTTGTAAAGTTAGAGATCTTTACAACATAAGGAAATAGAAAAAGAACAAACTAAACCCAAAGCTAGCAGAAGGAAATAAATAATAAAGATTAGAGCAGAGATAAACAAAAAAGAGAACAGGAACACAATAGTAAAAGTCAGTGAAAGCAACAGTTGATTCTTTGAAAAGGGTGACAAAACTGGCAAACACTTACCTAGGAGGATGAAAAGAGAAGACTCAAATTACTAAAATCAGAAGTGAAAGTGGGGATATTACTTATGACACTAAAAGTACTATGAGTACTATAAACAACTGTATGTCAATAAATCGGATATCCTAGTGGAAACGGAAAAATCTACCAAGATTTTTCTTCCTAGAAACAGAAAATCTACCAAGACTAAATCATAAAGAAACTGAAAACCTGAGGAGGCTGACAGGTAGTAAGGAAACTGAATCAGTAATCAAATATCCTCAGTAAAGAAAAGACCTGGACTTGAAGAGCTTTACTGGTGAATTCTATCAAACATTTAAAATAATAGCAATCCTTTTTAAATTTCTCCAAAAAATTAGAGAGGAAACACTTCCTAACTCATTCTGTGGGGCCAGCATTATCCTGAAAGCAGAGCTAGATAAAAATGGTACAAGAAAACTACAGACCAATGTTCCTTATAAAAACTGATATAAAAATCTTCCATAAAATACTAGCAAAACAAATTCAGCCGCATATTAAAAGGATTATACACCATAACTAAGGCGGCATTTAATCCCGGAATCCAAAGATGGCTGAACAGACAAAAACAACAACAATCAATGTAATACAGCACGATAGAATGAAGGATAAACACCACATATCTTAATTGATGCACAAAAAGCATTTCACAAGATTCAAGACACTTTCATGACAAAAACACTCAATAAAGTAGGAACAGAAGGATACTACCTGAAAATTATAAAAGTGACATATGAAAAAGCCCACAGTGAATATTATACTCAATGGTGAAAGACAGAATACTTTTCTTTAAGATAAGGAACAAGAAAAAGATGCCAGCATTTGCCACTTTTGTTCAATGTAGTACTGAAGTACTAGGCAGAGCAACTAGGAAAAGTGGAGAGGAGGGGAGAAGCGCACATGTGCACACGTGTCCACACACACACACACACAAACACAAATATTATTGAGCATGAAAAAAACAAAGTTAATTCTCACATATGCTATAACATGAATAAAACCTGAGTGCATATCTACGTTAAGTGAGTAAGCCAGTCACAAAAAAGCAAATACTGTACAATCCCACTTATGTGAGGTACTTATGAGTAGTCAAAACCAGAGAGACAGAAAGCAGAATGACGGTTGCAGGGTTTGAGGGGGTGGGGAATGTAGAGTTTCAGTTCGGCAAGATAAAAATAGTTCTGGTGATGAATGGCTGTAATGCCTGTACAACATCATGAATACATTTAATATCACTGAACTATACACCTAAAAATGGTTGAGATACTAAATTTTATGTGTACTTTATGACATAAAAATATTCAAAGGCTGTATCATTTAAATAGAGTTGATTTACCTACCCATAAAAAATTGTAGTGCAACATTGTCTACAAGAATGCTGTCCAGGGGGACTGTGCAAAGTTTCCCAAAGTTTGCTGCAAGTTTCACAGTATTTATTTCCTACAGGCAAAGGTGAATATAAGTTAATATTTTATTGAATCATTCATTGTTAAAGATGTTTATATAAATGTAAGGAAAAAAACATCAAGCTACAATGGAATAAAGACGAAGTTTTTCCCTTCTCATGCATGTTATTTCCCCCCCAAAAAAAATGCATTCTGTGAATTTAAATTCCTAGTTGAGTTGCTTAGCAAATTAAAATATTAACACATTAGAAATATTAGCGTTCATTTATTTCAATATAAAATAAATAGAAATCACCATATTTTCCATTATTCTCTATCGCTATATATTCCAAATGAAAATGAACATTCCAGAAGCTAATAGGTTGAAGGAAATGTTTGAAATGTTTACTATATGCAAGATTTTTAAAAATTCAACATTTTCATGTATAAAGTTTATTTATTACTGGGAAAACAAAATCTGCCTAAAGAGAAATTTTGCTCCTAACTCGGTAAAAACTCTAATTATTAGAGGAAATGAGTTTTTTTTTCCAGACTCTCTAAAGAGTGAATTTCAGACATACTCTTCAAAGTCATAGAGCAAGGAAACAATCTACATATGAAAAAAAAAAAAAAAAGGAAACTACTGGGTTGAAAATTTAAAGAGCATCTATGTGTCAGACACTGTGCCAGATACACTACACATATAACTTCATTTAATCTGCACAGCAATCCTGCTGGATATGTATCACCAAGCCTACTTAACAGACAAGGAAAACAAAGATTAAAAAGGTTGCATACAAGTCACAAAGCTGGTAAGTTTGACTATGTGTTTTCAAATGCTGCCTTCCCTTTCCTATAAAAGCCATGATGTTTTTATGAACTATGTATCTTCACTGGCTTCTCTATATTCCAAAATTTGTAGTTCAGTAGTTCAGAACCCTCTATTTAAAAAACAAAGATGGACACGCTTACTGTAAATGAAATAGGTTGCTATATTCAGAGGCAGATACTAAATTAAGCACAGGTGGTAAATAAAGAAAAATGAAGAGAATTTTTTTAAGAGAAAAAACAAAACAAAAACCAAATTTATCTCTGGAATTTGTATTTTCCTTCATATAAGCACTGGACAGTAACAGCTAACTGACTTTAAATGTCTGGTAGAGTGCAATGTAGAGCCAGCACATGATTTCTACTAAGTCTCCCTTCTACAAATTCTATCACCCCTTTCTCCTGTCCAGCAGTGGCTCCACAGATATGGGATGGGAAAGAAAATTCCCTATAACTTTATTTGTAATATGAAAGAATACAGGTTTCTAAGATTTCAAGATAAGTAACATGGCTATAAAACTGCAAGCCCGTGGGGATTCTGAGGTTACTTAAAAAAGGAAAACACTGTATGATCTGAACTCATTAAAAAATAAAGCTTGCGTTCAAAATAGAATTTACAGGCTTGCAAACAAAATGCCTAAATTTTATTTTATTTTATTTATTTTTTTATTTTTATTTTTATTTTTTGAGGAAGAGTTTCACTCTTGTTACCCAGGCTGGAGTGCAATGGCACAATCTCGGCTCACTGCAACCTCTGCTTCCTGGGTTCGGGCAATTCTCCTGCCTCAGCCTCCTGAGTAGCTGGGATTACAGGCACGCACTACCATGCCCAGCTAATTTTTTGTATTTTTAGTAAAGACGGGGTTTCACCATGTTGACCAGGATGGTCTCGATCTCTTGCCCTCGTGATCCACCCGCCTCGGCCTCCCAAAGTGCTGGGATTACAGGTGTGAGCCACCGCGCCTGGCCCCAAAATGCCTAAATTTTAAAAGGATCCTATATCAAAAAGTGCCTAGGCAAATACACTGAGTAACAATGCTGAAAGGTCACTAACTCTGATATCTAGATAAGGAAGTAGTTAAAGAAAAGCACAAATGAAACTGTATCGTTCTTCTGTTCTAATTTGCTTAAGTATATAACTAGTTTTAAAATAAAGTTAACCAAAAGTACACACACACACACACACACACACACACACACACACACGTATAACAAATGTGGGCCTCAAGTAATGTTTCGTAAGTTACAATTCATTTAGCAAACTAAGGTTTTTAAAAATAATTCTTCTATTCCTTAAGGAATTTAAATACACTGTAAAATTATAAGACCAGAGAGTCTTAAGTAAATTTTCAAAACAGAAAACTACAGGAGAAAAGGTGAATACACTAAAAATCTAAGGGTATTAAGAAAAGCTTTTTCCTGCTTTAAAGCCCCAAGTCTCTGTTCTCCTTTGGGGTAAAACATCTTTACAGAGCAACTATCATTACTGTTTCTAATTTATCTCTTCCCATTCTCTCTTGGATGAACTCCAATTAAGATCTTTCTCCACTACTCCACAAAAATGTTCTCATCAGATCACCAGTAATCCCCAGGGTAGTAAGTCCAATGGAAAATCCTCAGTCCTCATCTTTCTCAATGTTATTCTTTGATACACCTCATCTTTTCCTTTTATAAACACTTTCTACACTCAGCTTTTGAGATATTGACAGGGATAAGGGGCAGAGAAATTCCAGGCAGAAAAGAGAAGTCCTGGAGAAACACTACCCTCAAGCCAAAAACCCTGAGACAGTGGACCTAAGTGAGAACTTTATCTCTGTTTTCTCACTCAAATGTTGCCTCCGCCTAAACCACACGTGCCTTACCCCACCCCATCCTGTGCCTATAAAAACCCCAGACTCAGCCAGCAGCCAGGACTGAGGCTGAACGTTGGAGAGAAATGGCTTGACTTCAGAGTAATAGCCTGATGGCAGTAACTTCAGAGAATAATCCGACTGGAGACAGCCAGACTTCAGGGGAAGACTACCTATGTGCCCGTTCCCCTTTTCAGCATCTCTTCCCACTGAGAGCCACTTCAACTGGCAATAAAAATCCTCTGGATTTACAATCTTTCAATTCATTCATGTTACCTCATTTTTCCTGGATGCTGAATAAGAGCTCAGAAGCCATGAGTATGGACACAAAAGGCTGTCACACTGGCCCTTTGCCCTCACTGGTTGAGGGCAGCCACCTCATGCAAAAAGGTAAAGGGCCCACTGAGCTGTTAACTCTTAAGCCATCCACAGATGGCAGAGCTAAAGAGCACTATAACACATCCTCTGGGGCTTTGGGAGTCACAGACACCCCTGACTGGACTGCTATGCAGCATGAACAGTTTGCTCCTACCAACGCTAAAGCGTCTGGCCAGTTTCTGCACCCACTCACCTATGCTCTCCTTCCCTCGGAGGGTGGAATGTAAAGGGTCCAAGTGGAGTTTGATCCCACCAGTGCTTAAGTGGCAGGCTGGTTCCAGCACTCATTCACTCAAGTTCCCATTCATTCATTCACCTGTGTGTGCCCCCTCACAAAGAGTTGAGAGTGACAGGCTGGGTAAATGAGGCACCCCTATCACGAGTCCTGAGAAGGGTTCAGGGCACATGCTCAGGTTTCCCACCAATCTCACTGGCTATTTACTCTGTTTCTTTGGCTAGACTGTTTCCTTTGTCTTAACTCTATTCACAGACGTGTACAAGGACCAAGTCACTGGTACATTCCTACTTACACACACTCTTTTAACTCCATCCAGTCTCTCTCAACATTAAGTAAACATCTGATAATTCTGAGGATTTACAAAATTTATCTCCATCACTAACTTTTCCTTAGAAATCAAGATTACTAATTATCTTGTCTACTTGAAAGTCAAACAAGGATATCAAATTAAAATATCCAAAATTCAATTCTCTTTTCCAAAATTCTCTCTGTGTTATCTAATTCAGTAAAGAGCACCACTATTTATACACTTGCTCAAATCAAAATACCCTGAAATTATCTTTGAGTTATTTTTTTTCTTTCTCAGTCCATATTCAGTCCATTAAGAAAATCCTATTAGCACTATATCCAGTCTCTAATAGCTTCTCGCAACCTCCATAGACATCTCTCACCTAGTTTAAATCAGGAGTATTGAAAATAATCTCTCAGTTTCCATTCTTACCCCCATTCATCTCATCCTTTGTGTCTGTTCTTCACAAAGAGTAAAGATAATAACTTTAAATTTTAACTAATAAGTCAGGTAATGTCACTTGCCAGGGCAAATCTCCAATTGACTTTCATCACAATTAGAATAAAATAAAACTCTTACTATGCCAGTAAGACCACAGATGACCATATAAAGATATAACCTCCCCCTCTTTCTTCTATGACTTCATTCCTAGCACAACAGTTCATTCATCCTATACAATTCACAATGACCTCCTCCAACTCACCAAAGACATTCTTACCTTAGGGCCCCTGAATTTGCTCTCATGACTCCCTGTAAGATAGAAACTTCAAAGACAAACAAAAATACAGCAGAGAAATAACTGCCTCATGTTATTAGGTCTCCCTATGTTTAAGTGTCATCAAACCTCTCAGCACCCATCTAAACCAGTCCAAGATATTCTCTATATCCTACTTTGCTTTATTACTGTTTTTTGTGTTTTTTTTTTTGTAGTAGGTATCACCACCTGATATTACGCAGCAATTTGCTTATTGGTTTATTTCCTGACACTGCAACTAAAATGTAAGCTCCATGAAAAGAGTTGGTCTACCTGGCTCTTCTATAAAGTGCCCAACTCAAAAAACTGAACAAATGTAAATTCTGAATAAACAAATGATACACAAGTAAATACATAAATCAAGGAATAAAAATCTTCAATTACTTTAACATTTTTCAGGCAGCATTTTAATTAACCTTCTACCACATTGTAGAAGAGATAACCCTTTTTAAAGTCCTCTTGTAAAGTGCTGCACTGGTAAATGTCCTACTTTTTGTCCTTGACTGTGCATTTTAATCCCTATAAAGTATTTACAACTAAACATTAATTCAAAAGTACTTTACTTACTTTGCCTGACTGCAATCGCTGTATTCTTGAGTCACATACTTTCTTTACGAACAGTAAGCTATTTATTTGATTTTTGATAGTGTTGATATCTAAAAGCAAATAAATCAAGAACTAGAAAGTGGTAACATTATTTGCGGAATACTTTAAACATGCACTCACTGTAATTTAACAATAATCAGTTAACAATAAGGCAATTGTTTTATTCAATAAAATCAACCATCAGAAATTATACAGTGAAATTACTTAACTGAAAGTGAACCATGACAATTACCTTCACTTTAGGGAAAATCACAATAATCGCATTCTCTCATTCTGAAAATAATGCTTTTACTCTAAGCACATGTTAACACAATAAGGAAGATTTAATTAAGGTGAAAACAACTAATAGCAGAAAATGACATTTAGGTAAATTAACCAAAGTTTTGAAGATGTAATAATCCTTAAAAAAATGTATTTTAAATTAAATACATTACTTACCATCACCAGCTGTATCTAGAGATCTAAGATACTGTAATTCTTCTGCTGCCTTATCTCTGACTGCCTCTAGCTCTCCAATATTGTCACTCAATTTAATAATGTTCATAAAGGCCTCATAGTTGCAATTAGAATCACGGATCTGAAAACAAGTTTAACAAAAAAAGGATGGAGAACTCACTTACTAAAAGGAAAACTGAATCTTAAGTGCCTACTATGTGCCAGGACAATTTGCTACATACTCAGTGCTTACAACAAAAAGAAAAAAGCTCTGTATTTGGGTTCCTATATTCCAATGGGTCTTAGACTGCAAACAAAATAAAATAAGTATTATACAGACAGCATGCTTGAAAGTACAGGAATAGGAACATGCTCACAATATCTGATGATAGCAAGAAACCCATGATGACTACTAAACAAAAGACCAGCTGAGCAGAAGATATGGTCAGCAGCAATGGAGGGCAAATCCTCTGTTACAGTATAAAGGTTTTAGCTTTCACACTGAAGAAAATCAGAAGTTATACTGGAAGGTTTAGAAAAAAAGTATAACACTCTCTAACCTAAAATATAACACAATCACTGTGCTGCTGTATAAAAATAGAATAAAGGCAGACCAAAATCAGAAAAAAAGACCAGTTAATAATACAAGTGAAAGGTAACATACTCAGGGAGCAGGGCGGTGACAGTGGTGGTATGGTACAAAGTGTTTTATAAAGTGTTTTCTGGTTAAGTGTTTTGTAAAAACAACGCTAAAAGAATTTGCTGATAAATCAGATGTGGCCATGAAACAGAGAGAACACAGAATTACACCAACATGGCTGGGCGTGGTGGCTCATGCCTGTAAACCTAGCACTTTGGGAGGCTGAGGCGGGTGGATCACGAGGTCAAGAGATCGAGACCATCCTAACCAACATGGTGAGACTCTGTCTCTACTAAAAAAATACAAAAATTAGCTGGGCGTGGTGCATGCACCTGTAGTGCCAGCTACTCAGGAGGCTGAGGCAGGAGAATTGCTTGAACCCGGGAGGCAGAGGTTGCAGTGAGCTGAGATCGTGCCACCGCACTCCAGCCTGGCACCTGGCCTGGCGCCTGAGCAAAATTGTCTCAAAAAAAAAAACAAAAAAAATAAAAATAAAAATAAAACTACACCAACATTGTTTTAGCCTGACAAGTGCAACAGTAGATTTACCACTAAACAAGATGGAGAAAAAAATAAAGAGATGCCGCATTTGCTAGGGGAGTGGGGAGGCAAAATCAAGTGTGAGATACCATTAACTATAAAAATGGCCATTAGTAAACTTTTGAATATGATGGACAAGAGTTCAGAAAGAAGGACTATACAAAAATATGCATTTCAAAGTCACTGACATGTAGATGGCACTTGAAACCATGAAAATGGAGTAGAATGAAAAGAGAAAAGATCTAAGGACAGATACTCAGAAGACTTACACAGCAAAAAGACTGAGAAAGGCCAAAAACATAGGAAAAAAAGCAACAACAAACTTTGGTGTGCTAACAAGCCAAGTAAAGAAGTGTTTTAAGAAAGAAAATGAAGGCTGGGTGTGGTGCAATAATCCCAGGACTTTGGGAGGCCAAGGCAGGAGGATCACCTCAAGTCAGGAGTTCGAGACCAGCCTGGCCAACATAGTGAAACCCCGTCTCTACTAAAAATACAAAACTTAGCTGCGAATTGTGGCGGGTGCCTGGAATCCCAGCTACTTGGAAGGCTGAGGTGGGATAATTGCTTGAGCCCAGGAGGCGGATGTTGCAATGAGCTGAGATCATGCCACTGCACTCCACCTTGGGTGCTAGAGTGAGGCTTAGTAGAAAAAAAAAAAAAAGAAGAGGCAAAGAAAAGGATAAACTGTGTCAAGCACTTCATATAGGTACAAAACAAAAATAAAGAATCTAAGAGCTGACCATAACAATCAGGATGATTATTCTCTTTGACATAGAAAAGTTTATTGGAGGAGTTCAAGAAAGAAAAAGAGAAAACGTAGACAGCCGACAGTAAAAAAAAAAAAAAGTTCTGTTGTAAAGAGGAGGAGAAAAGAGAGCTGCCTAAAATGGAATGTAAGATTAATAACTTGTTTCATCTTTTTAAGATGAGAGAGATAATGACAAAGGTGTATGATAATAAGGACGATCATATAAAGAGTGAAAATTTGATTATAAAGAGAGAGAATATAAAATTGTCAAAGCAATACAATGAAATCATCTAGAAGGAGCTGGTTACAGTGTGCAAGTAAAGGAGTTGCTTTAGCTAGATACATGGATATTTTATCCACAGTAACAGAAGAAAATATAAAATACACATGCGGAGATACAAGATATGAATGTATGTGACAATAGGACATTATGAAACATCTCTTTTTCTCTCAATTTTTCCAGGGGAGTATTAAGCTCATGAGCTAAGAGATGTGAAAAAAAGTATGTTAATTGAAAGTTAAAGAAGTATAAAAGAGTTCGTCAGCGTGGGACACATAACAGAACAGGAAAAATTTAATGATTTCAAGGCATGAGTAAGGGCACAAATGAGATTAGCGCAGGTTTCTCTTCTTTCATCAGCCACATTCACCTGCTTAAAAACAGGAACGGAGTAGGCAGTTACGTTGGATTTAACCAGTGCTGTGGTATCAACAAGCTAATAAAGTGAAAGACGTAAGGAAGTACAGGATGTTGTGGAGGGATTAATAACTATAACTGTAAATAAAATTTAAGCAAAGCAGGAAGAGTGGGCTGTGAAAAAGTACTCAACTTAGGATGTTATCTATTTTCAACAAAAAGCCAGACAATTGAATACTGTAAAAGTATAAGACTATGTAAAAAGATGCATTACATGGAGAGGATAAATTATACAGTGAAAACTGACTTCTAATTAGAAATAATAAAGGCAAGAGGAAAATGTAAAACAATTTTTAAAGTACTGAAAAAAAAAAGTCTACAGCAATTCTACATCAATGAAATATCCCCCAAACTTTGCAGTAAATAAAAATATTTTCAGAGAACAGAAAGCTCAGAGAATCTGTCAAAAGTAAACTGGCAATACATGGAATCCTACAGAAAGTTCTTCAAATGAAGAAAAATGACAACAAAACTAACATTTGTACCAACAAAAAATAATGAAAAATACTGAAAATACTGAATAAATGTATGGGTGTAAAAGTTTTTTTTCCTGTTCCTTGTTTCTTTAAAAAAAAGGTGTTTGATGCAAAAATACAGCACTGTGGAATAAACTATGCATGTAGATGTAAAATATGCCATGAAAAAAACAAAGGATGGGGGTTAATTAAAATTATGCTATAGCAAGGTTTTTCATATTTCATGTGAGGCGATAAAATACTGCCTCCGGGCATATGATGACAGCTTAAAGAGGACACTAATTCCTAGAGCAACCACTAAAATAATGGTAACAGTAATAAGGAATCGCTGGAAAGTCATTAAAATAAATAGAATACAGGAATACCTTGTTTCAGTTCCACTGTGCTTCACTGTGATATTTCACACTATGTTTTTTAACAAACTGAAGCGTTGTGGCAACTCTGTGTCCAGAAACCCTTATCAGCATAATTTTTCCAACATATGCTCATGTCATGTGCCTATTGACATTTTAACAATTTTCAGAATATTTCAGACTTTTTCATTATTATTATATCTACTATGGTGATCACTGATAATAGATATTATTATTGTTTTAGTACACTACAAACCATACTCATTTAAGATGACAAAATTAATTGATAAATTGTTTTGTGTATTCTGACTGTTTAAAAAACTGACCATTCCTGTCTTTCTCCCTCAGGTAGATCCTCCCTATTAAGTGACAAACAACAATATTGAAATTAGACCAATGAATAGGCCTGCAATGGATTCTAAGTGTTCAAGCCAAAGGAAGAGCCACATGTCTTTCACTTTCAATCAAAAGCTAGAAATGAATAAGCTTAGCCAGAAAAATGTGTCAAAAGCCAAGACAGACTTAAAGCTTGGTCTCCTGCACTAAACAATTATCCAATAAGAGAATGAAAAAAACAAAAACAAAAACAGAAAAAGTTCTTCAGGAAAATTAACAGTGCTGCCCCAGTGAACAGATGAATGATAAATGTGAAGAACACTTATGGAGAAAGTATTATGGTAAAGGATAAAAGATCACACAATTCTTTTGGATATAGACCTAGCAGTAAGATTGCTAGATTATACGGTAACAATTTTCAGAAGAACTCCCAAACTGTTTTGCAAAGTATCTGCACCATTTTACACTCCACCAATAGTGCACAAAAAAATTGAAAACAGGATCATAAAGGGATATTTGTGTAATCATGAGTGTAGTATTCACAGAAGCCAAAAGGTGGAAGTAAGAGTCTCCAAGAGTCACAGCATTCCTGGGCTTAGGGATCACACTACTGCTGAAATAGCCATAGTGACCACAAGCTTAGGTTAAAACTTTCAATCCCCTTTGACTTCATGAAAAGCCCTCTCAAGAAGGATGGTACAAATAAGCCCAGATTGAGAAGATTAATAAAAACTTAACTCTTCAATGTCCAGACGCTGATGAACGTACACAAGCACAAGTAACAAGAACATCCAGGAAAATGACCTCAAGAAACTAAATAAGACACCAGTGACCACTCTAGAAGTAAAGGAGATAAGTGACCTTTTAGACCAGAAATACAAAAGAGCTGTTTTGAGGAAGCTCAAAGAACTTCATAGAGAAGGAATTCAAAATTCTATTGAGAAATTTAACAGAGACTGAAATAATAAGGGAAAATCAAACAAACTCTAGAACTGAAAAATTCAACTGACAAATCGAAAAATTCATCAGAGTATCTTAACAGCAGAATTGGTCCAACAGAAGGAAGAACTAACATAAGACAGACTATACAAAAATACACAGAGAAAAAAGAAACTGAAAACAATTAAGCATACCCACAAGATCTAGAAAAAAGTGTCATAAGTGCAAATCTATGATTTATTGGCCTTAATGAGGATGTAAAGAAAGAGACCAGGTTAAAAGTTTATTTAAAGAAATAATAACAAAGAACTTTTCAAACCCAGAAAAAGACATGAATATCCAAGTACAAGAAGGTCAAAAAACACCAAGAAAATTGAAATGAGATCACCAAAAAGCATGTAAGAATTAAACTCTCAAAGGTCAAGGAAAAATAAAGAATCCTAAAGTCTGCAAAAAAAGAGAAAAAGAGAGAGAGAGAAAGAAAGAAACAGCAGCAGCAAATAACATATAAAGGAGCTCTGATACATCTGGCAGCAAACATCTAAGCATAAACCTTACAGGCCAGGAAGGAGTAGGATCATTCTATATATTCTAAGTACCAAAGGAAAAAAATGTCTTCCAACCTAAAATATCATATCCTCCAAATTTATCTGTTAACTCTGAAGGAGAAAAAAGCCTTGGCCAGACAAATAAAAGCTAAGGGATTTCACCAATAGCAGACCAGTTTTACAAAATACTAAAGGGAGTTTTCCAATCTGAGAGAAAGTATGTTAATGAGCAATAAGAAATCATCTGAAGGTACAAAACTCATTGATAATACTAAGTACACAGACAAATACAGAATAACACTGTAATCGTGGTATACAGACCACTCATATCTTTAGTAAGATGACTAAAAGACAAGTCAACAAAAAATAACTGATAAATTTAGTAAAGCTGCAAGATACAAAACCAACATACAAAAATCAATAGCATTTTCTACAAGACAACAGTGAGTAATTTGAAAAAGGAAACAAGAAAGTAATCTCATTTAAAATAGCTACAAATAGAAAAAACAAAATACCTCAGAATAAACTTAACCAATGAGGTAAAAGATGTGTACAAGGAAAACTGTAAAACACTGATAAAAGAAATTGAAGAAGACACAAAAAACGAAAAGATTCACCATGTCCATGGAATGGAAGAATTAATATTGCTAAAATGTCCATATTATAAAAAGTGATCTACAAATTCAAAGCAATCTACATATCAAAATACCAATAACTTTCTTCACAGAAATAGAAAAAATAATCCCAAAATGTATTTATATATGGAAACACAAAAGACCCAGAATAGTCAAAGCAATCATAAGCAAAAAAGAACAAAGCTGAAGACATCACATTATCTGACTTTGAATTATACCACAGAGTTACAGTTACCATAACAGAGGGTACTGGCATAAAAAAGACACATAAACTAATGGAACAGAATAGAGAAGATGGAAATAAACCCACACATTCAAGGTAAATTTATTTTTCACAAATGTGCAAAAACACACAAACTGGGGTTGGGGGGAGACAGTCACTTTAATAAATGGTGCTGAGAAAACTGGATATCCATATGCAGAAGAATGAAACTAGACCCCTATCTCTCAGCATATAAGAAAACCAAATAAAATGGATTAAAGACTTTAAGATGTGAAACTATAAAACTAGAAGAAAACAGCAGAGAAACAATTCATGACATCAGTCTGGGCAAAAATTTCTTACATCAGACCTCAAAAGCATAGGGACCCAAAGCAATAATGTACAAATGGGATCACATCAAGCTAAAAGGCTTCTACACAGCAAAGGAAATGATCAACAAAGTGAAGACACAATCCACAGAAAAGGAGAAAATATTTGCAAGCTGCCCATCTGACAAAGAAATAATAACCAGAATATATGAGGCACTCAAACAACTCAACAGGAAAAACAAAATCCCATTAAAAATGGGCAAAAATCTGAATAGACATTTCTTAAAAGACAACATAAAAATGGCAAACAGGTTATTAAAAAATGCTCAACAGCACTTATCATCATAGAAATGTAACTTAAAACTACAATGACATTTTATTTCACTCCAGTTAAAATGGCTTTTATCCAAAAGAGAAGCAATAACAAACACTGGCAAGTATGTAAAGAAATGGATAAAGAAAACGAGGTAGATACACAAAACAGATTATTATTCAGCCAAAAAAGAAAAAAAGAAAAAGAATCAAATATTGACTGGGGAATATTATGTTAAGTCGAATTAACCATGCACAGTAGGCCAAACATGTGGGAACTAAAAACAAAACAAAGACTGAACTCATGGAGACAGAGCGTCAAATGTTTCTTTACCAGAGGGTGGCAAGGGAAATAAAGAAAGAATGATTAATAGGTACAAAACACAGAAAGAGTAAGATCTACCATTCAGTAGCATGACAGGGTAGCTACAGTTAACAATACTTTATTGCACATTTCAAAACAGCTGAAGGAGTGGATTGGAATGTTCCTAAGCAAAGAAGTGCTAAGTGCTAGATGTGATGGATAGGGCAAATTATCCTGATTTGAACATTACAAATTGTATGCTTATATCAAAATATCACATACTCATAAATATTTAAAAGGCTTATGTATCCATAATTTTTAAAAATTAAAAACTTGTTAAATTTTTTTTTTTTTTTTTTTTTTTTTGAGATGGAGTTTCGCTCGTTACCCAGGCTGGAGTGCAATGGCGCGATCTCGGCTCACTGCAACCTCCGCCTCCTGGGTTCAGGCAATTCTCCTGCCTCAGCCTCCTCAGTAGCTGAGATTACAGGCACGAGTCACCATACCCAGCTAATTTTTTGTATTTTTAGTAGAGACAGGGTTTCACCATGTTGACCAGGATGGTCTCGATATCTTGACCTCGTGATCCACCCGCCTCGGCCTCCCAAAGTGCTGGGATTACAGGCTTGAGCCACCGCGCCCGGCACAAAATTTTAAAAGATATAGTCACAAATTTGCTTTTTATCACTTTAGAATAACTTCTTAGAGCTGAATTCCTAGCCAAAGGAGACTAATTTTTTAATATTTTTAATTGTGCACATACACATATTTTTAAAGCTCTCATAGTGCCTAATACAAATTCTTAAAAGTTCACAAAGAAAAAGAAGAATCAAGTTCCATGGTCTCCAGGAAAGGCTCTAGGAATACACAATTAATAACTCAACTTTTGTCTGCAGGAAACACAGTCTGGTCAATGGGTAAACTTTGCAACAACAACAATAATAAAACAAGAGCAGCCAGGCACAATGGCTCACACCTGTATGTAATCCCAGCTCTTTGGGAGGCCAAGGCAGGTAGACTGCTTGAGCTAGGAGTTCATGACAGTCAGGGCTACACAGCAAAACCCTGTCTCTACCAAGAGTACAAAGAATTAGCCCGATGTGGTGGTGCATGCCTGTGGTCCCAGCTACTCGGGAGGTTGAAGTGGGAGGATCACTTGAGCCAGGGAGGCAGAAGCTGTAGTAAGCCAAGATTGCACCACTGCGCCTGGGTGAAAGAGTGAGATTTCATCTCAAAAATAAATAAATAAAAATAAAGTAAAAATATAAAGCAATGGCAAGTCTGACAATGCCTAAGGGAAATAAATCAAAGAACAAGTAATTCTTCTTAAGAAAGCTAGACAGTTAAAGAAAGACAAAAACAGAGAAGAAATCCCATATTTAAGAAATTAAATCAAAGATCTAGAAGTAGATATCAAAGAATTCCCAGCAGGCAGTCCATTTACAACTCTTCCTTGACCATGAGTTTATTAAGGAGAAGCGTATGTTATAAAGAAAAAAAAATAGGGCTTGTGAACTTAGTAATCACTAACTCTTTGATACGTCTGACAGGAGAAAACTGTTAACTACTACAGACACTAAGCAACTTACAGAAACATCTAGAACACAGATTCTCTGATTTTCTTTCTACTGTTTTGTCCTCCATATATTCCCCATTACACAGTATAAAATGTCAGTTAAATGTCAAGTAGTTCAAATCCCAAGTTGTATTTAAAATGAAATAGTAGCCATTAAAAATACTCATCATTTATACATACAGGTATTAAAATATCATATTTTTAAAGAAAAATATATTAAAAATTATAATTAGAGCTGAATAAGTTATTTATTTATAAGTTATTGTAGTAGCACCATGACTGCAAAGAAGATAATCAACAAAATTCTTAAAGAGAATTTGGCCAATATATTCAAAATATAAGCAAATAAAAACACTGGAAATGCAGAGATTACTTCAGAAACATTTTTGCTTAATTTCTTTTATGAATTATTGCTTAAACACCTTATCTCCAAACTGTACTTTTACATTTAAAAAATTATTTCTGGCCAGGCGTGGTGGCTCACGCCTGGAATTTCAACACTTTGGGAGACCAAGGTGGGTGGATCATGAGGTCAGGAGTTGAAGACCAGTATGGCCAAGACGGTGAAACCCCATCTCTACTAAAAATACAAAACTTAGCCGGGTGCAGTGGCAGGTGCCTGTAATCCCAGCTGCTCAGAGGCTGAGGCAGGAGAACTTGCACTCCAGCCTGGGTAACAGAGTGAGACTCCGTCTCAAAAAAAAAAAAAAAAAAAAAAAAATATATATATATATATATACACACATACACACACACACACACACACACACACACACACACAATATATACATATATTTCTAAAACACAGTTGTAATTTTAAAACACACTTACCATCCATATGACATACTGATTAATATAATCAGGATCACTGAGTTGATTTATTAATGGAAGAAGAATTCCTCGTGCAAGGATTTCCTAAAAAAATAAAATTAAAAAATTTAATGCATTTTTCAAATCAATATCATAATATAAATATTCTAACACAATGCTGTTACTTAAGTATGATATATGTAAAAGCAAAACTTTATAACCAACACAATCTTACTTAAAAAAAAAATGAACTACTATGCATCATTCTAGATAAATGAGATAAAGTCACCTATATCAACTTGGACACATCTCCACAGTAACATCTGTGGAGTGAAATAAAGCATGATGATAGCTCTAGTATGTTAGCATTGATGTCAATTTTAAAAAGATAAAATATGAGACTAAAAATGTTTATGGATTCATTTATCTTTATTAAAAGTATAGAAACAGAAAAGAAAAGGAAATGATACACACTGATTTTAGAATTGTTACCTCAAGCAAAGAAACAGAGAAACTATAGTACATTATCAACACTGGTTAAATCTAAGAGGTTGTTGTAACATAAATGTCTACTGTATTATTCTCTATCCTGTTCTGTGTTTGAATACTTTCCTAATAAACATTTTTAAAATAACAGATATGTTAATTGACTCAACACGCTCTAGAATATACCTTCTCATTTTTCACAGTTGTTTATGCTCCTATGTATTAATATTCTGCCCTTCCTTTAAAAACTGACTGCAGAATCAATGATCCTATTAAATAAATCTTGATCATTCCAACAGAAACGTGCTTGAAATACTCATGCCCTGTATCTACAACATTTACCAATTGATATTTTCTCTGTAATTATATGTCTTATATTTTTCTGAGACGGAGTCTTACTCTGTCGCCCAGGCTGGAGTGTAGTGGTGTGATCTTGGCTCACTGCAACCTCTGCCTCCCAGGTTCAAGTGAATCTCCTGCCTTAGCCTCCTGAGTAGCTGGGATTACAGGCACGCACCACCATGTCCAGCTAATTTTTGTATTTTCAGTAGAGATGGGGTTTCCCCATGTTGGTCAGGGTAGTCTCGAACTCCTGATCTCATGATCGGCCTGCCTCAGCCTCCCAAAGTCCCGAGATTACAGGCATGAGCCACTGCACCCAGCTGTCTTATATTTTTCTAATAGACGGCAAGTATTTTAGAACCCTTTATATGAGTAGAATTTGTCAACTTATCTATTGAATTATTTATCCTCAAAAATATTTACCTTCCTCATCCCATCTTCTCAAGGTCACTGTTTTAAACACAGCAGACATTTGATAAATGAATAGAAAACAAACAAACAAAGAATCTAGTACTGTTTCTATAAATACAATGTTTTTATCTGGTGTTACCCTTTAGTCTTTAGTGCCAGGAACATACAAATTTATCAAACCTAATTTCTCAAAGAACACTGGGGAGATTAAATAACAACAAGCTTAACAGGGTGTTTCATTTTTCTAAGTAAAGGATCAATTTATTTTTTTCTTCCCAGATCTCTAATTTATTTGGGCCATTTTCTGGTGTAAGTTCATAGAAGGTGGTCTTTACTTTCAGTACGCTGTACAAGTCTCCTCTGTAAGCTGTACAAGCCTGCCAACAATTACCCCCATGATGAATCAGTATTTCCAAAAAGCATGAATAGGGCACCAGTAATTTTTTGAAATGTCTTTGCAGACACTTTACAGTCCCAAATGACAAAAAATGGCTTCATTCAAGATTACTTTTAGTCTTTAACTTCTTTAAAACTGTATTTATGTATGTAATTCCTTCATTCAAATTAAGTCTCTGGCCATGTGTCCAAATTTTAAAATGTACACTGTTAGGAGAAAATTCACAGACACACACACACGCACTTTTTCCACTGTTTCTTTTCAAAAGAAGAAAAAACATCTGGGGAAATTTTTTTTTTTTTTTTTTTTTGAGACAGAGTCTCACTCTGTCACCAGGCGCCAGACTGGAGTGCAGTGGCGCGACCTCGGCTCACTGCAACCTCCGCCTCCCGGGTTCAAGCAATTCTCCTGCCTCAACCTCCCGAGTAGCTGGGACTACAGGCGTGCGCCACCACGCCCAGCTAATTTTTTTGTATTTTTAGTAGAGATGGGGTTTCACCATGTTGGCCAGGATGGTCTGGATCTCTTGACCTCATTATCCACCTGCCTCAGCCTCCCAAAGTGCTGGGATTACAGGTGTGAGCTACTGTGCCCGGCCTTGGGGAAAATTTTAATTAAATTTTTTGTTTCTTATTAGTTGGTGCAATTAGTTGATTTGTATTAGAAAACTTCTAAGCTGCCACATTAAAGGGTTTGGTCAAGGGCTAATCAATCATATGACTCAATGTCCTAGTGACAGCTCTACATATTCCATGAAAGTTGCCACTTGCACATAATTCCTACTTTAAGCTCTCAACTTTTAGAAAACAGCACCCTCTGTCAAACATCTGGCCTAAAAGATACAAAGTCATTGAAGCCCTATCTTTAAAGGAATAAAACATAGTAATGGCAAGAAAGTAGAGGCAATAAATAGCAATTACGTCAAGTACTGTGACTTACACAATCTATACAAAGTATCCATACAAAGAAAATGAAAACTCTTTCATCTGTTATTTAATCGAAACAAAAGTATCTTTTGAGGAATCTTAGAATAACTGACAAAACAAAGAAAGGGCTAAAGGAAAAAAAACTGACTTGCTGAATGCATGATCTGCAATTATCCTCACTCAATTAGATTCAGCCAAAATAAAATGAAATATTGGCCTAAAAGAGGAATATATTAAAAGAAATGTGCTTATTAAAATCCTACTTATTTTAATAACCTCATGTAATAAGGCAGATTTTCATTCATGGCTCTTAGGAGTCAACTTAATCTTCAAGAAGCTGCAGTAAGGCAGGGCGCAGAGACTCACACCTGTAATCCCAGCACTTTCGGAGGCCAAGGTGGGCACATCACCTGAAGTCAGGAGGTGAGATCAGCCTGACCAATATGGAGAAACCCCATCTCTACTAAAAATAAAAAATTAACCCGGCATGATGGCGCATGCCTGTAATCCAGCTACTCGGGAGGCTGAGGCAGGAGAATTACTTGAACCTGGGAGGCAGAGCTTGCGGTGAGCCAAGATCACGCCATTGCACTCCAGCCTGGGCAACAGGAGCAAAACTCCGTCTCAAAAAAAAAAAAAAAAAAGCTATAGTAGCGTGTGCACCACGGCCAGGAAGAGGGTAAATGGATTTCCTTTTGCATTAAAACTTACTGACTGAGCACCTGCTGTGTGCCAGGTATTATGTTAAGCACTGAGTATATAATTGCGATAAACACAGATAAAGTATCTGTCCTCATTAGACTTACAATTAATCCTGGAGAAAGAGGTATCGAATAAGTAAACACAACAACCAAATTATAACATCTTAAAATATGGTAAACGCTATGAAGGAAAACAAGTGGATACTATCTATGATAACAGGGAATTATAAAGGGGCTTTAGATTGGGTGGCCAGGGAGGGCATCTCTAAGGAAGTAACATGAAGTGAGACATGAAGAATGAATACAATTTAGCTGACAGAGTAAGAGGAATCATTCTTAACAGAGGAAAAAAGCACATGTGGCTGGAGTATCCTTGACCAAGCGTAGGCTCTTCTGAATCCTCTAACCATTTACGCCTTAACCTTTGGGTTTCCATGTCTGCTTATTTACTCATCACACTTTTAGCAAGAACTCTATCAAGTGGGTATAGCCAGAACTCCCTCACTCACTATAAATGATCAAATTCCCCAGTCCCCATCCTTTGTGTCTGAACATCCCGGCTTGCTTTCAATAAGAACCCTATTAAGTCTGTTTAACCAGAATTCCCCCTTACACCCGATGTTTCATATTAGTAATTTTCCATCCACTGATCTCCAGCCTACTCCTGAGCTATAAATCACAACTTGTTTTTGTATTCAGAATTGAGTTTGGTTCTATACTGAGGTCACATTTCCCCTACTCCAAGAGTTACTAGATAGTCTTTTTTTTTTTTACACTTTACTGTCCAGCTCTGGTTTTCCTTGATATTGCTTGGCATGAAGGCTAGAGAGGTAAATAAGGCCACATGTGACCCTCCAAGCCTCTTCAAGAACTTGAGATTTCAAAAATTTACTAGATGACCATACCACTTACTAGGATGAAGACTAAAAGGTAGACAGGATATGGAGGTAAGAATAAGACTTTCACTTCGGATACTTAAGTTTTAAAAAGCTGTGAGTCCCTTGAAATCACAAGCAGTGATTTCAAAAAGGCAGCTCAGAGTTCCCTGGAGCTCAGAAGGTAAATCTGAAGTAAAGCTATAAATCTGAAACTCATTAGCATTTGGAAGCTGTTTATGGCCACAGGAATGGATGAGCAAGACAAAGTCCTGGGACCTAAGACCTTGAATATTTAAAATTTAAGCGGAAGAGAAGTTAAGGAGTATAAATGTGACCAAAAAGGAGAACAAACGTGACTAAAAATGAGACCAGTGACATGAAAGAAAAGAGAAAACAGTTTCAAGAACGAAAAGATGGCAAGGCATGTGAGATAATGCTGTGATCCCATGTAACAGTGGCCAGCTGGAGTATTACGTAAACAGATTACACCAAATAGATACTCTGCATGAACAAGTGCTATACCTGATTAGTAATCTTCCTTCAGTGGCAGATATGAATCTAGTGATAGACATGGTGGTACTTACCACCCTTGATAATAACTAGCCCAAATAATTGGCCTTAACAATATATAGTTAATCTACCAGGCTCCTCTCATAAAAACTAAGTGCTTTCTACTACTTCACCTAAGTTACCACTAATACACCTGAGAAGTACCTTGAACTCAAGCTAGGTAGATGTTAGGAAATTGCATGGTATTGCTTATAAACAATACCATCCAAGAATAAAAGCATTTCTTGGGAATGGTTATCCACTTTGCAAAACAGACTAATGAGATCATAAGCTTTTGTTTTTAGGAAAATTCAAAACTTTCATTCTACCAGGATATGGTCTTACGTAGCTAGCATTTCTAAATCATTACCAGCGGACAAAGCCAAATGTTATTCCTTCATATTTACACACAGAGCTTTGCTCTAAAGGTTTATACTCAGGGAATAAGGAGTCTAAGACTACTATTCTCATCTGACATTAATTTTTCAATTACCAAAACTATCATCTTAACTACACAGTTTTTAAAGTTTCTATCCAAAAATGTTATTTTTATCTAACCTAATTTAGATAATGCTAGGATATAAGAAAATTTAAAACATACTTTTGTCATAACCAAAAACCCAAGCACTTAACTATCGACCAGAGACTTCTGGAGGATTAGGGGGAGACTTCCAAGAACCTAAGGTTCCCCGAGAAGCTTGCACTTAAGGTTCCCTTTGACCCTTTCAATACTATTTTCATAATGTTAAGACATTATTTAACTTTTCACTCGTTCTCTCACATACATACAATGACCTTTACAAGAGTGATATAATGCTATGATGGTATCCATTTATCAGCTAATAAAACATATGCTTGTACATTTTCATGTTTTAAAAATTTCTTTTCCCTTATAATATGTAAATAGTTTTAAAGAAAACCTACATAAAGAAAAGCTCTTTAAAGTCTTCAATAATTGTTAAGAGTCTAACAGGATCTTAAGACCAAAAATTTTGAAAACCACTCTCCCAAGTTTTTTTTACAGCCATGATTTGGTATGAATTTAAGCTTACCCTGACAAAGTATCGCATGATCTTGTTCTGGAAATCTCCAGGAGGTAGCAATAAATATAGTAAGACCTCACACAAATCTCTTAGGAAACCTAAAAATAGAAAAAGTAGCTATAATAACATTAGAAAATAAAAAGTCTATGCCTACTCTTGATAGATAAGATATATTAAAAAGGTAGAAATAAGTAGCTTCCTGGTTATACTGGCTTATTATTTTAGTAATTAGTACACATCAGTATTCATTAAAAACTCCTTCACTGTTCTCCAAGTAATAACCATTCATCAACTTAGTATTTTTTTAAATTTTGCTATTTTAGCCAGTTTTTTGAATCATAAAAAACTTCCTTACGAATCTTTTTTCCCAGAACAGTTTTAGATAGACCATGTAGTTTGTAATTCTACCACACATTAATAAGCTTTGCATATTTAAAAGTTATTCATACATTTAAAAATATAGCTGTAACTCTTCTTTCAAGAAAAAGCCTCCACTATCTCAGCAGGCTATAACAAAGGAAAAAAAGAGTATGCTTTTCTGCTGATTTAAGAGAGCTCCACTTACATAAAAGTATTGCACATCAGTATATCTATGTGTTACATTATAAGTTACTATAATACAAATTGACCCTTGAACAAAGAGTCTGAACTGCTAAAGTCCACTTATATGTGAATATTTTTCAATATATTGGAAATTTTTGAGAGATTTGTGACAATATAAAAAAACTCAGAGACGAACTGCACAGCCTAGAAATATCAAAAAAATGAAGAAAAATGCGGTCATAAATGCATAAAATATATGTAGATACTAGTCTTTGTATTAACTGATTGTTTACATTATTGGTAACGGTTATAGTTAACAGTGGGCTGTTGGTATTTAAGCTTTTGGAGAGTCAAAAGTTATGCACAGAATTCTGTCTGCACAGGGGTCAGTACCCCACTGTTCAAGGGTCAACTGTATTTCTTAAAAGTGCTAAAAAGCTGGGCACTAAAAGCTGAATCATACAATAAAGGTTAAAAAAAAAGAAAAGGAAAAAGAAGAAAGGAAAAACTAAGAAAATAAATAAAAACATTTAAAACATTCTCAAAATCTAAGAAAACAATTTCTACCAGTAGAAGGGCTTTTCTACAGTTGTTCCTATGCTGACACTTCCTGGGAATATAATTGTATGACTGATCCTGTTAATTTAAAACTGTGCCAATTAACAAAGACTTAATACTTGCTAACTGGGAAAAGATACTGTCCTTAGCTAAAGCTTGTCCAAATTCCTACAAATAAAAGAGGAGCCTGTTGAAATCTATAAATTGTTTGAAATCACTGTATTCATTCCCTTAGGAAATAGTTTATGGTAACAGGTATACTTCTGAAGCAAAAATGATAAATTTAAGAGGAAGAAAAATTACTACCAATCAAAAAATTCAATTATAAAATCTTTGTGTTTGTTACATTTTAAAAGTAGACTGGTAATTTTTTCTTTTTAATTTTTAGACAGGGTCTCTATCTTGTCACTCAGACTGGAGAGCAGTGGTATGATCACAGCTCACTGAAGCCTTGACTTCCTAGGCTCCAGTGATTGCCCACGTCAGCCTCCTCAGTAGTTGGGACTAAAGGTGTGCACCACTACAGCCAGCTGTTTCATACTTTTAGTAGAGACAGGGTTTTGCCATGTTCACTAGGCTGGTCTTACCTCCTGGGCTCAAGCAATCCAAAAGATGACCTTTAAATAAGAAAACAGAATCTGGAAACTACTTTTAAGAGTTAAAAAATAAAATTAAATTAATAGTAAAGCTACCTGCCCTAAGTAAAAATAATTTTACCCTTAGGTTTGTTCACTGGTTCTGCTAACTTGACTCTAGCCGGTTACTACTGTCAAAAAAGTTAAACTGAAATAAAACCTTCTTCATCTTTGGGAGAAGTGCACACTAGATCACGGCAAACCTCCTTCTCCATTTCAACTTCAACTTCAAAGAAGGTATCTACAAGATCTTCTGCTGTACCTGAAGAAACAAGTCAAGATATATAAAATGATATAAGAAAAACAGATTTTTAAATCCTAGTTTTCAAATAGAATACAGATATTACCTTTTGCTTGATCATCTTTCTCTGTTATTTTCTGTTGAGCCTTTCTGAATACTCGTAAGTGTGTGCCAAAATCATCTACAATGCGTGTAGTAAAATAAGGTTGCCAGTCTATTTCTTTTGACCTTATAAAAAACACATTACATAAAATAATTATCTAAATCAATTATCAAAAAAATTAATTCATTTTAATGACTACTGATGAACAACATGATTATCTGAGACTGTAAATTTAAACCGACATTTTGTTCATTCATTATTACCAGTTAGTATTGTTTTGCAAGATCCAAAGTATATAGTATCTAGTTCATTAAGTCTTCTAACAATATTACTTCAATTACTTTATGTGCCAAAGCTTAAAACTTCTATCAAAATCCTTAAACTAGAAAAAAGAATTAATTTTTTTACAGTTAAAGTTGGACTGACAACAGTGTATCATGTAATTTCTCAGTCCCAAAGTAAGGAATTCTGAAGAGTTTTGTTTGCTCTTAAAAGCGCATTTCAAACATTTCTTGGTTTCTTCTGAACTTTCTGAATTCTCCACATTCTTCTTTTTAGCTATACAACCCATGTTATGAACCTTCTGTTTGAATACACCAGCACTTAAAAACTTGGCCATGGCCAGCCACAGTGGTTCATGGCTGTAATGCCAACACTTTGGGAAGCTGATGCAAGAGGGTCACTTGAGTCCAGGAGTTCAAGAGCAGCCTAGGCCACATGGTAAATCCAGCTCTACAAGAGTTAGCCAGGCATGGTGGAATGCCTATAGTCCCAGCTACTACAGGCTGAGGTGGGAGAATCACCTGAGCCCAGGAGGTCAATGCTGCTGTGAGCTGTGGTCACACCACTGCACTTGAGCCTGGGTAACAGAGATATCTCAAAAAAATAAAAAATAAAAAATAAGAAAGAAAGAAAAAGCCTTTACCATTAGAAATAACTAGTAATATGGAAATGGTGTAAAGAATGCTGTAAAATATCACATATATAAAAGCCTTTAGAAAACTCATGAAAAAAGGTGATTACTAATTTTATGAAGTCACCTACTACTCTATCGCAAAAGCAACAGACCTCAAAATTTACCATTAATTCAGTATACCAGTAAAACAGATAAAAGCACAACAAGTAACCCAAAAACAATTTATATCTCTCCTTGGGTTGGGTGATTTTTTAAAATGTTGTTCTTTTTCATAAAATTGCACTAAAATTAACTCACCCTTTAGGAACATATCAAGTAGACAGAAAACAAAGAGTCTCTATTCAGGAAGATGCTGGGCAATGGAGGAACCAAAAAAGTACACCGTAATTCATTACGGTAATTACCCACACATACAATAAAGAAGCTAGTAAAGAAGCTGACTTAATTATTGTTACTTTTTGGGGGAAAAAAAATCTTAAAGAATCAGTTTGATATTGAAAAATGAATGGCTGCTTTCAAATAAAAACGTAAGTTATTAATACTAAGGCACAACTATGGTTCGTTGTACACATGGAACTAAAGAGAAAGCTATAAGCATGTGAACACAAAAACAAATTAACATAAAAGGTAACCCTAAGCTCAGTAATCTGAGGAAGAATTAATTAACATTATTTAGAATATAAGAGCCATGCATATAACTAAACTTGGTAACAATATTCAGGCTCAACATAAAACCTAAAATAAAAACTTAAACATAGCAATCTCCAGAATCTTTTTTATTTAAAAAAAAAAAATCACAATCTGTGTAAGCATCTTTCAAAAATCTTAACATGAATATTCAAAATCATACATACTTGAAAGTTTATAAAATCAAAATTTACTTAGCATAGGCCATAGCTCATTTAATCCATAAAAGGTTCATTCTGATAAATTTAGAAGAAAGCAGAATATATAATCTTTCAGGTTACATCTGTCCTGTTTCATGATACAATGCTATTTAATTTACTGAAATTTTCAAACAAAATAAAAATTATCAATTTAGAAGGCATTTTAAATTCATCTTGATTCACTATAGAGGACATAAGGACATTTTAAACAAATAAAATCATCAATGCAAATAAAATCAGGCAATGCAAAGACATACAAATTATTTTAAATTTGATGTACAGATTTCTATTTTCAATATAGAAATATGCTGAGGGTAAGAAAAATAGGGAAAAAAAGTACAGATACCCTATATCTCTTTCTGAGGTTATTTATTTTCCTTCTGCTTGACTTATTTTCACTGACTTGACACAAACTTAATATAAATCTCAACTCAAAAGAACTTTCTAGATTAGGAAGAACAACAATAGCACACTGCTTCCCATTTATAAATTAGAAGGATATATACTAACAATTTCTAGCAACATTTGTCTTAAAATTGGAAAATACTTTGATGACAGTCAAGTATTTTCTAAAATCATGACGTGATAAATATGTAATAAATGCAATGTGAAAATGAGTAAGAAATACTTTATTTACATAACAGCCATACTTCTACTGCACCTACTACATAGCTTTCTATTAGAGCTCTTAATAGCAACTATTCTAACAGTCGAAACTCTTTTTTCACTTTGCTTAACATATTCCCCCCATATGTAATTCTTAGTCTAGTAAAACAACTGGGCAATTACATAATGCATCTTATTACTGACACTTGAGTTTATTATTACTAATAAGCTGTAATTTCTTCAATTTAAGAATAAAAGGACATAATCCCTATATGGCCAAAAGAGTAAGTGACACTAACAACCCTAGCCTGAAAAAATTTACAGTAGGGACCTGAAGCTTATGCATCTTCATGGAATGGTTGCAAGAAAGAATTAAGAAGGTTAACTAGGAATGCAAAAAGTAATGAGATTTTAATTGAGAGCACAAAAGCAAAACAAAACAATAAAGTGTGTCTCTCTGAACATAAATTTTGCATGCCCTTATCTCTGTCTCTAATGCTACCATCCTATCCCTTGCCACCATCCTACTTACAGGTCTCCCATATCCAGTCATCTCCCCTGCATTCCAATTTCCATAAAGCAGTCAAATTTTTAAAATAGGATATATACAGCTCTAAAAACTCTGTAATAACACCCGATTATTATTAGGGCTAGGCACTAGTACCTTCTCTAAGATCTTCCATACCCAAGAGCCCTTGTGTATTTCCTCTTCATCACCATCTATTTCACCCTTTCCTTCCTCTTTATTACACATATCTACAGGCTTTCTTTTCAATATTTGCATTGTCAAATCCAAATATGTACCTTCTTACCTCAGTGTCTCTGGACAGACTATTACCTCTGTCAGATTTGCTCAGCACTGCCTGCTCTCCGCAAATTTCCCTTCTCCTTCCCCATTCATCTGACAATTCCCACTTATACATTACAGTTCATCTAAAATGTCAATTGAACATGCCAGCCTTCATTGACCCCTACTCTCTCCATTAGTCCTTCAGACTAGCTCCTTTCTCCAGTTACGCCTTCCAATAATACCAAACTTTTCACTTTTTATAGCTCTTACAACCTAGACTTAAATTCTTTGCTGATAGAAATCTTAAGAAGGCACAGATTGACTGTGTCTGTTTTCTTTTTTTTTTTTTTTTTTTTTTTTTTTTTTTAATTAGAAACAGAGTCTCACTATGTTGTCCAGGCTGAAGCACCATGACTATTCACATATTCATAGTGCAGCCTCAAACTTGTGGGCTCCAGTGATCCTACCACAGCCTTCTGAGTATCTAGGAGTACAGGCACATATCACTGCACTCAATGAACTGTGTTTGTTTTATTAATAGTTGTGTCCCCTGTGGAAAAGTAATGTTTCGAACACTATTGCTGGCACTTGATACCTACTGATTTACTGATTCCTTTTTCAGGGTCAGAGCACTGTGCTTGAAGAATGGCAACATGAGGCACAAACAATAATTGCTTCCTTAGTCTTTAAAGACTTAAAATAGAATACGTACTGAGAAGCTCTTTTTGCCCCAGAGCTACTTAATGCCAATGCCTTAAAAAGGCAAGAAAAGTCCCAAATATGTGGCTGAGTTTGGGATTCTAAATTGCCTTGCTGTTCCATCTAGTCTAAGCAGTGTACCGCTCATCGTGAAAAACATAAAACACCACCAAAATCAAATATTTCTAGAAAAAGCATTGGACTGGCAAAGATGCCTTTGATTCAAGTAAAAGACTACTCCAAAAGATGTACCTTTTACTCAAATCAAAGGCATCTGTGTCAGTCTATGAAAATCACATCATTTCCCAAAGTTCATTTTTCTCTAACAACACTTATTACATCTTTGAGTCTATGATTACATTAGCTGCATAAAACCACACATACACACACAGGGACAGAGTGTATAAAAACTGGTAATTGGGCAGTAGGTAAATTTAAATATTTGATCAAAAGAGGGAGTCATGAATATATTTCATTTTAACTTAAATTATATAAATCATTCTGTGTAGGACTAAGACTTTTTCTTTGGTTAAAGTGCTGCGGAGTGGTATTAACATGCCTCGGGTCTTGAAAAAACTACAAACTGTTCCCACACTGCAAAACCTATGGTTTACAGTTTCTTTAAAATTGCATGGCAATATAAACATTTGTGAACAAATCTGCACGTGGAATCCTTGAAGACTTTCTCTCAAATTTCATGGTTGCCTTTTGCTCACTTAATTCAACTACAATCTTCAACCAGCTTTGAGTAATTCCAAAGCAAGTGACTCAGTTTTCTTAGAAACTACCTTGCCATATTTATATTTCTTCAATCTGAGTGTTAATTAAACCAACTGATTATATTTAAACCATATGATTATAATAAAAAGTATAACTGGGATATATAGGCTCATAAACAAATACAACTGCTTTTTCAACATGCTTAATTATCCGTCTCTTCTAAATCATCAATATTCAAGTCACATCACAGACTAATTGCAGCAGATTTTCTGGAGGTGGGATCCAGGCATCACACAATTGACTTCTGATAAGCATAACACTCAAAGGGTGGAAATAGAAGTGGATAGATGCAATAGAGCCTAGTCTTAATGCTAAGGTTAACAGTCAGTACAGCAAACAAAGGGAATAGAGAGCACTGGCTAACTAAAATCAGTTAAGAGAGCTTTCACTACAGTAGCACAGAATTGGTACCATTTCAAAATCAGCTTATAATTTTGTTGAAGAGAA